GTCAAGTAAATTCAGTGAAACTTGACTAATATTTATTTGATTGTACCTTTGTATTATGTTGTTATTTCTTAGAATCCATCATTCCCTTTCTAATTAATTGCATATTTTACTGTCAGATAAATTCAGTAAGACTTGTCAAGAAAAATAGCATAAAGAGCATAAGAGTTGTCTATAAAAATTATAGAATATATATATAGAATATATAAATAATATAGTGTCATAGTTAAATTTCATGATTGTTGTTAAAAGTATCAAAGTATATGGATTTTTTTAATATACTTGGGGGGGGGGGCTTTATTTATTTATTTATTTATTTTATGTTTTACCAGACCAGTGACTGATTTTAGTGGAAGGCTTATAAAAGCATATGCTTCTTTTAACAGTATTGCATTTTAACAGTTATATTTTTTATCTGCTTGCTGCATCTGATGTTGTAGCTCATATACTTTTTTATGGATTCTATTTCTCTGCATATCTAGACTGATCATTCACATGGGGTTTACAACTTAGGCAAATGGCTAAAAAAAAATGTGTTTGGGTTCCCATGAAGCACGAGAAACAAAACAACTGCCATTGAGTTGAATGAAATTGCTAACGGATAGCTTTCCCCATGCCTATCTAAAGCAATTTAAAGTTTTTTAGAAAATAGTATTAAAAAACACACTCCAAACACACGCACAACAGCAACCTCGCAGGTGACTCAGTGAGCATGTTTAAAGATGGAAATTTATAGTCTTGTATTTGGCTTACAGCTGCAACCTCTAAACTACTTTGCTAAATGAAGATTGAATGATGCACTATGCTCTGGCGTTTGACGTAACAGTAGAGCAGATGTTATTCCTCTCACAGACCTGGATTTGTAACAAAGCATTATTGCTGTGTGCATTAGCCACTGTTTCTGATTGCTGTCCGGATATTGGAGCATTTTGGGGGAAGCAAGCAGCCAAGCTGTCTTCTCTTCCATCATCTTCTTCCTCCTCCATCACTATAGAGAAGCAGGAAAGAGAGAAATGTCAGGGATGCTGTGGTCGGGGCAGGCGTTATTCCAAAATACCTAGTATTTTTCTTAGGGATACACCGAATATTCGGCAACCGAAATTATTCGAATAAGCGAAAAGGCCGAATAATATGAACCGAACAATGATGAACGCGATCAAATAGAGGCACGCACTAATGCAGCAAACATGTCGACAGTGTGAAAGTATTTAAAACTATCAGAGAAAGACGCAGAAATCATTACAAGCGTGACGCACCGACAGCGAGAGACTGTTTAGTGCTGCATCACGTCTCCAATGAGAAGAAGAGGTGGCTAATGCTGGTGGTTAGGTTACTGTATGATGATTGAAATCGCGAAATTACCTCAAACGATTAGTAAACTGCTGAATGTTATATTTTCTAATGCATGCACGAATTGCGGCTTTGTTGGTATAATGTCTGCTAGAATGTTAAAAAAATGTTCAGTGTTAAGTACAAATTTTTAAATTGTTGTTTTGTAATTGATTTTTTATTTGAAAAGCAGGACAAAACAGTAAAAAGCACATTTTGGCAATTTAATTAATGCAATTGTGAAAAAAATGGCAAAATAGGCCTACATGGGGGAAAAATGTGAAAAACCGTGTTCGGTATTCGGCCTTCGGCCCAGTGTTTCATTTTGTTCGGCTTCGGCCTAGAATTTTCATTTCGGTGCATCCCTAATTTTCCTCATTCACTCTCAAGGTCCTTCACACTGACAGCAATGAAATCTCTGGAGGCCTCCCAGAATTTTCTGTTGACTTCTTGTCGATTGCTCAACTTTCTAGTCAACTGTCTTTACTCCTATCGGTAGTCGCAGCATCACGTCGCTGCTCATTTGCATTAAGATGTCTCTCGTGTTGTTGAAAATCGACATTGCTCGTTGAAAACGAATGACTGCCGGTTGTTTTGCAGCTACAAAACGCTGTCGTTCCTTCACTGACAGGGTGTGCAAAATGCAGTGAAAGGAAAAAAGATGGAGGGATTTGAAAAAAGAAAGAAAGAGCCTAGATGGTAATGTAAACATGATGATTATTCATCTTCATCCTGCTTGATAATACTCCCCACGTGATTCCAGGGCAGGACAGATGATGTTGAGGGGTTCAGAGGAGATTAAATGGCAGGTGGCTTTTTCTCTCTATCTTTCTGTAAATATAAATCATTATTTTTATTTAAATAAAATTTTGTAAAAAAATGTTTTTGGATTGTTTGTTGCCAAACTTTGCTTTTAGGTGCTAAATCTAAATGAAACATCTAGATTACAGTTCTTGATCGTGCAATAACTGTTCAATTTTTAAAAAGTTTCCTAAACAGTTTTTTTTAGTATAGTTCTTTTTAAGTAGCTTTGTTATGTGCTTTTTTTTATTAGTTTTCAAAAACATATATAGCTATACATCTTTCATTTTTATAGCTTTAGACTATAGCTTTATTTCAGTTCAGTTCATGTGGACTACTTTTATGATGCGTTCAAGGTGTTTTGTCCTTTTTGCAATTTTTCATAGCCATTTATAGCACTTTTTTGTATATATAAAAAAAAAAAGCAGCATGGACATTCTTGAGAATTTCTCGTTTTGACTTTTTCAGAAGAAAAATAAAGTCATACAGGTTTGAAACGACTTAAATTTTTGGTGAACTATTTTCTTAAGTCTTTTCAAGGGTTCTCTCTCACATTCCTCAGTGGTTTGATGTGTTTCCAGTAATAACCATATATGGTATCTCAAGCGTTTGAACACTCTGGAGTTATACACTGAAAAGAAATGCCAGGAGATAAACCAGAGTTAATGATCTGCTGTTTCGCTAGAGAAAGCAAGAGCCCATATCTGCCGCGTTGATTTCAAATACCTCTCTTGTGTTCTTTGGGAAAACAAAGCTGTATTGTGTCCAAATTGATAAACACCATAATTTATTAATATCATGATTACTGCGAAGCCTCTTTAATTACCCTCAAGCGTCTTTGGGTGGGCAGAGGGGCAGGCTGGGTATTCATCCATAAAGAGAGCTGGAATGAAACTGTGAGATGAGTGATGAAAGCAGGATAAAGAGAAATGGAGCCAGTTTGCTGTTGTGACGAGTTAATCCCACAGTAAGAGTTTCAAAATAGAAATATTTTACTCCGAGCTGGCCTGACAAAAGAAGAAACAATGAGTCAGATACATGAGTGACAAGTAGAAGGAGCATGGGATAAAGATAAAGAGCAGATCAACGAGTGGGAGGATGAATGGATGAGATGAGGAGACTATCAGAACTATCTAGAAGAAATGTACCACATTTGTAGCACAGGACTGAACTAAAGCTACAGCATGTCTCTGTTTTTTGGCGTCTGTTCAGTTTCTCATCCAGTACTGAGAAATGAAGTGATTGATTTAAGGCATATTACATTTACAGTAAAAGCAGGACTACATGCCTTGCCATCTAAATTGAATCTTTTTCAGTGACCATGCTGGACTGAAATAAGGAAGCAAAATGTTCCCTTTCCTTTTTTTTTATCCAATGTTTTTATACAGTTTGTAGGTTAAAGGCATTTGGAACACCATGTAGGCAATGTGTTTCAATTTAATGTAATTTAGGAGAAAAATATTTGAATGATTTTATCATGTGTATTTTAAGTATAGTATATTTTAATGTTAATATGTTAGGACATTGAGTAAATATGTTTACTTTTACTTTACTTTTAGTCATTTAGCAGACGCTTTTATCCAAAGCGACTTACAAATAAGAAAAAGTAATTAAAACTAAAAGCTAAAACTCTATAAATACTATATATATATACACACATTTAAGAAAATAAAATAAATTAAATAAAAATGACAAATGCATACAACAACATTTCAAAACTAAAACATTTAAATGAAAACAAAAAAATAAAGCTAAAAACAATTAAAACATACACAAATAAGAAAAAGTAATTAAAACGAAAAGCTAAAAGCTTTTAAGAAAATAAAAGAAATTAAATAAAAATGACAAATGCATACAACAACATTTCAAAACTAAAACATTAAATCAATGTATGCTTCAGACACGGGTCACGACGAGGCGTTCCCCATAGCGACCCCTAGAGGACGTAGTGTCTCGTTCCCTACTCAGGGAACCATGGTTACATAAGTAACCTGAGACGTTCTTTTTAATTAGTTTAACAAAACTCAAATTGAGTTCAGCTGGACACACTTTCCTGTTTATCCCAACAAATGGCCAAGCAAAGCGCACGACACTGACAAGATACGCGATACAGTACGAGACCAAACGCCATTTCAGCACGTCTCCACAGTAAACAAAACAAGCGTTTCCTAGCAACGACAACTGCGCTAAACACTGAGACAAGAAATAAATACACTTACTCACTTGTTTAATGCAATGATTTAAAAAAATTATTTAAATTATTACAGTTTAATTTTTTATTCTGCTCTCTAAACGCTGGATATTATGAGATGATTTTTTTTCTAATTGTAATCGTATCCTTCATAAGGCAGATATTTTTTAAAGTGACGTGACATTAAATTCTCAAGCAACATATTGCCTTTACAATGTCTTTTTTTTTAGACAAATATTGAGCTACTTTATATTTTAGGAAGGGGCCCCTTGCAAAAGAATCATCATGTTTGGGGGTCCTTGGGAATAAACGTTTTGTATTATTTTTTATATTATAGTGTTCATTAATATTTTAGCTTTTATTTTTATATGTTATGTTTTCATTTTAATTTTACTCTTTTTGTATTCTCTTTATAAGGTGGGCATGAATATTTCAAATGTGTTTGTCTATGAGTACGTTCTTTTCAGTCAGTCATCACAATTTTGCCTTTCTATTTATCTCATCAAATCCTTCTCTACTGTTTCACAAATTTGACCTGACCACACCACTCTACCATATTTGACATCTGGATGTCCAGACTGCTCCGTCTCCGGCCTCATCACAACCCCCCTTTACCTCCTACCCTGCTCTACCACCACCGGCCCACCCACCTTCTCCTCAATCTGCTCCATCATCTCCACAGGTCGGGGATCAGATTCTGGAGGTTAATGGACGAAGTTTCCTCAGCATCCCACATGATGAGGCTGTACGAGTGCTGAAGTCTTCACAGCACCTGATGATGACGGTGAAGGATGTCGGGCGACTGCCACATGCCCGCACCGTAGTGGGTGAGACAAAGTGGATCACAAGCTCACAGATTACCGACAGCTCGGCCAGCAGCAGTATCACAGGGTGAGTGAAAGGGGGTGATGAGAATGTGTGGAAACATGGAAAGTGTGAGAGTTAAAGGAGTCATATGCATAGAAGGGAAAGCTAGTTCATTCCTGGATGAATCAGTGTTTTTGAATATAAATATTTCAGCCAAAAGGCTGAAAAATATTGCAAGATATTTTTTGCTTTGCTAAATCTGATTTGTCAGATTGCGCTGCTCACCCTCAGGCCATCCAAGATGTTGATATGTTTTTTTTTCATCAGATCAGATTTGGAGAAATTTAGCATTACATCACTTGCTCACCAATGGGTCCTCTGCAGTGAATGGGTGCCGTCAGAATGAGAATCCAAATCAAGCTGGTGGTCTGGGGTACGAGCTCAATCCAAAGCCAAGGGCGGAACTGGCACAGGGAAGTATTGTACCTGTCATTGTTACTGACCAAATTGACAATTTGATAAATAGCTGTTCTTGATATGACTGCAAAATGCTTGCAGAGTACATTTACATTTACATTTACATTTAGACATTTAGCAGACGCTTTTATCCAAAGCGACTTACAATTGGGGGATACATAAAGCGATTCTTCTTAAAAGAGGCAAACAGATACAGGAAGTGCTTGTAATACCAAGTTTTTAGACATTGTAATACAGTAATACAGTAGTAATACAGAGACACGAAGCACAGCTATGTTGGAAAGCGGTTGTCTTGCACAATGTTCAATTATACAGTTTAGTGATCATTATACAAACATTTTTGACCAGAGATTGACCATTCAGCTGTGTGATAATGTAATGTGATGTAATGTAATATGTAGGAATATATGAGAATTTAACCCCACTGTTAAAAATATAGTAAAAACACTAATATTGTGAAATATTATTACAATTTAAAATAAAAATAACTATTTTATGTTTTAATGCATTTTAAAATTTAAAAATATATATTTTAATTTATTCAGCAGCCATTGCTTCTGAGTCACTAAATCCTTCAGAAATCATTCTAATATGCTGATTTGGTGCCCAAGAAACATTTCTTATTATTACTTATCAGTGTTGAAAACAGTTGTGCTGCTTAATATTTTTGTGGAAACTGGGATACATTTTTTTTTAAGATTCTTTGCTTAGTAGAGAATTCAAAAGAACAGCATTTATTTGAAATATTTTATAACAATTTAAAAGTTTTTGTCACTTCTAATCAAACCAAAACAATGGCCCATCATTTTCCCTTAGGCATCCAGACCTGATCGAATGCTTAACTCTAAAACCAGAAGCTAGATCAGTTTTGTACATGGCAAGTGTGTCAGAGTCTCTGTATGACTCTACATCTGTTTGTGGATGTCCGAAGGGGTTGTAGAGCATGTATGGTATTGATTTCTCCATGTTTACCTCTCTCACATAGACTCTCTCTGGACCAGGGAGCATCAGCATCAGGAAAGGTGAGTACTTTGTTTCTATATTTGAACAGAATGTTCTCCACTGTTTGGTTTTAGCAGCGTTAAAAGAGTGAGTGAAATGGTGAAGGTGGTTTTTGAATGGCTCTCTGCAAATCCTGGTGAGCTCCAGACCGTTTAGGATAGTTGTACCTTTTTTATTGTCATAATAGAGTTGAGATTTAAAACGATTACAATTATTTGCTGAGCCTCTAAATGAAGATAATTAGTTACAGTACTACATTAATAATTATAGACATTACAAAAGTATTTTGCTCACTCAAAGACACTTTGTACGTGCCAGAGCTTGATCAGAACATACTTCTGAAAATGCTGTATACTTTTTGAACACTTCTCTGCAGTACATGAAAGATATATTCATTTTTAAAAGGTACAGAGTTCAAAAGGTACTGAATAACAGGAATGCAACCTAATCAAATGCCTCCAGGATCTTTTTTGCAGGTCTATTTATGTTCAAAGAGCCTCTCTTTTGTCCTCCATAGTGAGGATATATTGTTGTTATGCAAATGAGCCATAGTCAGTGATTAAGCTGCATAATAGATCAGACTCCTGATTTTGCAGTGCTTTGATAACCTGAACTAAACCTGAATTAAAGAACTTACCTTAGCCAGACTAATCGCAAGAGAAAAGGAGTCTGAATCACAGATCATTTCATATTTGCTCACATATCATTGTCGGTTGATATGGGAACGGGGGGATTGTGGCTCTTACTCTAGCTAGGCAATCGCACACTTGTTCTTGTACTGCGGCTGCAAAGAAAGAGGACGTTTGTGAGCAGAATGAGGAGAACAGAAGAACTGAAAGACATAGGAAGGACAAGAGATGGAAGAGAATGGGATGAGAGAGGAAGGTGTTATCGCTGTAAATTATCGTCTTGGTCTGGGTAAAGAGAGTGTCAGGTAGACGCTGCCAAGAGGCTTTGATCCCCCCGGGCATATGGTATCCAAGGTGATCTGTATTCAGACTGGTTTCCGCAAAAGACACATGCACTTAACATTCTTACCATCACTGTGTGTTTGTAAGACTCGTGTAGAGCTATACTGTAATATATATGAGAGAACAGGAAATAATAGAAGGGTCAGTCTGGTATGCGGTACCTTTTGAATTGCGACTTTTAGAAAATGAATAAGCTAAAATAAGTATTTCTATAAAAGCATATACCACACTTTCAGATATGTTTTGATCAAGATCAGGTACTTAAACTTGATTAAGTAAAGTATTAAAGTTAGTAATTGGCAATAAAAACATGTTTTGTTTAAACGTTCTTCTGTTTAGGAAATTAAGGAACACCTGGAATATATTTTAGCAAATTGCCAGTTTAATTAGAGTAGCATCTGGGGACACAGCAAAAATATTAGTGAATTTATTTAAAATTATTACTTTGTTTTGATAAGTGAAAACAAACTAATATAATTTCGATCTATAAAAATTGTGAGTATAATATTTATGAAGTGTATCAAAGGAGTAGTTTATCCCCAAAGAGCTTTGAGTTTATTTACTTTAGCAATACTAAGATTGAATTAATGCAGATAAACACATAAATACAAAACACTTGAGAAATATAAAAACAAAAATTCAAAACATATTCAATAATACTACACCAAATAATAATAAAAAGATATACATTTGTGCACACACATCCATACACACACATCCAATAAAAATAGAGATTTTTATTTTTTATAAAATAAGAATTCTGTCATCCTTTCCTCAACCTCATGTCATTCCAAAACCTATATGACTTTATTTCTACTGTGAACATAAAAGGAGATATTTTGAGAAATATCTGGTAACCAAAATAATGGCAACCAAAACTGTTTGATGAGAAATGAAGGCATAATATTCATTTCTGAGTGAACTATCTCTTTAAGATATATACGTTAGATATACATGAAAATGGCCTTCATAACAGGAATAACTCTTATGAAGAATGAAAAAATATGGATAGAATAGAGGGCAAGAGTAGAAGACATAAAAAGACAGGATAGGATAAGACAAGAGGTGGTGAGAATGTGAAAAGGAAAAAAAACAAGCAAGGTGACCCACTCGATGTACAGGGCTTTACAAGGTCCTCCTCTAAGCCGAGGTTTATGCACAAAACAATGGATTCCTATAAAGTCTGGGCAGTGCGTGAGCACTAACTTATTATGACGGGGCTGATTATTGCATACAGTGGGAATGACAGGCTAAAGGACACGGTTAGATGAAGTGTCTGGGCTCATGTCTGTGGGCTCTGAGCTTTTGCAGTAAACTACTCACTTTGTATTCCAAAGACTCGCAGCTCCATGATGCTTCAGAGGACGTTGATAAGTTACATACATCAGTTTGTATGAGAAAGTCATAAATCACTCCTGATATGTAGACACAAGCGTGCAATTGTAAGTAAACACGCATACGTTATGCAGTTCCTATGAAATAACATTCAAATTACAGTTAATATTATAATTACTCACTTACTTGTGAGTTCATCACAGTAGCTGCAGTAAAAAAGCACAAACTTTGCAACAAACGTGCATTGCTTAACAGGAACAATATTTTTGTGGTGTTATAACAAATACTTTTATAGTCTCTCAGTTCCCTAAGACGATTTTCCAATGTTTGCCTGCAGAACGACCCAAGCGTATAAATTGATAATCACATAAATGCTTCATTATGTTTTCATCAGTATACATTTAAAGCTCCCTGCAGACAATTAATAATTGGTAAAGTAATTGTACGAAGCTCAGTGAAGGGTGCTTTGATTAATTGTAGGTCAGGTAGGAGCAAGTTGAACTTGTATAGGGTTCGTTTTTACTTTTCAGAAACGTTCTAAACTTTAACACGCATTCAACAGACAGAAACCAGTTCATATCTGTTGCATTTACTGCAGCTGAAACTCATTTCTGATCCAGATATTTGAGAGTGAGTTCACGTCTGGTTGTATTTTACGCTTTCTAGAAATACACTAGAAATCAAGTCACATTGATGTGGGGTCACAACTAGGATCTCGGTCATATAAGAGAACTTCTTTCTCTTCTGCAATATTACAATAATTCTGCCTCAAACGTTTTTTGCTTATTTGCAGGCCAGAATTCCTCGCTGTGTGACCTTGTCGAATGTTCGCTGAGTATGGCACTTATTTCCATTGCCTGATGTGAAATCTCTGTATATCCCAAGCGAGACTCAGCCCCCTCTTTGCCAACTCATTTCAGCTTAAACCCATTTCAGCTGCCCTCATTTTGAAGCTAATTGAATTCTCCAAATTGACATTGCCCTTTTAAGACAAGAACTAAGGTGGCCCTCAGGGGGCTCAGCACAACGGCATTAGCAAAGTAAAGAAAGCACAGTAAAATATAAAGATTGAACAATTCTGACAATGTTTTGAAAATGCGTCTGGAGGGTCGCTTGGCAAATCCCTTCAGTCCCTTCTGCAATATTACACTTAAAGGTGAAAGGTGACATATACTGTATAATTTATATTACCATAACTCTATTTAATATTTATATTGTCCTGGCAATATAAATAACATTAAATAATATTTTTATTTATTATTAAAAATTCTGCTATTATAGTTACACATTAAACTGGTATAGATAAAAGTTTTGACATAAAAAAAATTATGCACTTCAAGGCCAAGATAATTCTTGAAGGGACTGTAAAGTGCATTTTTCCTGAACTTCTACCGACACGTGCCCTGACAGGCTGTTTTTATGTTTGGATTGGTCTGTATATAAGAACGCTTGCTTATATCTCTGAGAGCTTATCTCCGGTGTGCCTTTAGGACATCTATTGACTGCGCCGCTCTGCCACTGTTCTAAAGAGAGGTGTACAAATCTATCGTCTCTTTGGGAGAGAAGTGCTCTTCGAAGCACAGGACTTAATGTAGCTCAAGAGGGAGGAAATGAAGCTCCAATTTTCGACATGGGCCATAGTCAGGCCGAAATAGTAATATCATCTGAGAACAGAGATCTTGTGCTTTGTTGAAAAGCGTAGTCATTCGCTCCATGTCGTCGGTTAGAATATTAAAACTCTGATAATGAGACAGATAGAGCTGTAACCGACAGCAGCTCCCGAACCCAAGCATTTGTCATTTTAATTAACGTCTAACCAAGGTGACACTGATCTTGATCATCTAATTATTTAATTTATTGCTCAGTGGCCTTATGTTTTAGCAGTTAGAGGTAATGTGACGGCAGGAGTTAGATTAATTTGTTTTTACATCATTTTGATGGAACAGAATGACTGAAGATGAATCTATCTATCTATCTATCTATGTATCTATATATCTGTCTGTCTGTCTGTCTGTCTGTCTATTGTTTTGTTTGTCTATCAGTCCATCCATCCATCCGTCCACCTATCTATCTATCTATCTATCTGTCTGTCTATCTATCTATCTGTCTGTCTATCTGTCTGTCCACCTATCTATCTATCTATCTATCTATCTGTCTTCTGTCTGTCTGTCTCCGTCCGTCCGTCCGTCCATCTGTCCACCTATCTATCTATCTATCTATCTGTCTGTCTGGCTGTCGTTCTGTCGCTCTATCTATCGTTCTTTCTGTCATTCTATCCATTGTTCTATCTATATCTATCTCAGAGTGTTTTTTGGTTGTGTTGATTATTATATATTGTTATAGTAATTACTGCCAGTTCCACCCCAGGATGAACTTCTCCGCACTTGCCTGACTTTCACTTTGCTTCACTTCATCCAAGGACAAGACTTCTTTCAGTCCAGAAGCATATCCCCTATAGGACACTTTATTTTATTATTTTTATATTTGCATTCTATTTTATTTGAGAGAAAATAGCTTTCCGGTCTGTATAGAGGTGAGTTATCTCAAGTTCCTTTTAGATAAAGCTCAATCTGGAGATAAATTGTCTCACTGAAGCCTTATTCAAATTCACTGGGGTGTGATATGTGGGGACACGGCTGGAGTTTCTGCTCTCTGAGTCGCAGTCGCACAATGCAGTTCTGGCAGACAAAACACTTGTTCTGATTGTGCTGTCCTAAAGTTATGATATTGATCAGCAATTATGTGTTCCTGTGATTAAAGAGGCTGTCAGTCGAGTGATGTCATAATTGGTAACCATAGAGGTTGTAACACTACTGATGGCACATGATCGATCCCATCTTGGCCGCTATCATTCTTAAGGAATTATAAAACCTCACATTTTTCTTGCTTGTTTTATTGATCATCTTTTGTTGGAGAGATTCTGCTTGAGCTTTGCTTTTTGTAATTGAGCAGTGGAGCCGATATCCCAGAGTGCTCTGGAGGGCAGGACTTTTGAACCTCTCAACATCAAACTAGACAGAAACACTTGTGTTCTCATCTGAAGAAGTCTTACAGCTAATATATATATATACTACTATTCAAAAGTTTGGGGATCAGTAAGATCTTTTTTTTTTAAAGAAATTCTTAAGCAAGGATGCATTAAGTTTATCAAAAGTGACAGTAAGAATTTACATTTGTGTTACCTCAAAGAATAAATTAAATGCTGTTCGTTTGAACTTTCTATTCATCAAAGAATTCAGCAAGTTGAAATCTACAGTTTCCACAAAAAAAATAAAATAAATATATATATATAAATATATATAAAGAAGCACTACTGTTTTAAGCATTAATAATAATAAGAAATTTTTCTTGAGCAACAAATCAGCATATTAGAATGATTTCTGAAGGATCATGTGACACTGAAGACTGGAGAGATAGCTGCTGAAAATTCAACTTTGCCATCACATGAATAAATTACATTTTAAAATATACTGAAACAGAAAACAGTTATGTTAAATAGCAAATTTGTGTTTTCACTGTATCTATATTCAAATAAATGCAGCCTTGGTGAGAATGAGAGACTTATTTAAACAACATTAAAAATCATTCTGTCCCAAACTTTAGATATATATATATATAATGAAAAAATTACAATTTAATAAAGTTAGCTTCGCTTCTGGTAAGTTTCAGACTAACACTGATCTGAGGGCTCAGTATTTATCTCATCTGCAGTGGTTGGCCACAGCAGTGTTTCAGAAACAGTTTGTTCTCCGGGTGAGGATGAATTTGAGTTCAACAGCACAGCAACCTCATGAGTTTCTAACTAAGGGAATTTATGTGAAATCGTGGGCTTTTCAGAATAAAACAAAGAGAAAGAGGAAATATAGTAAATGGCTCTCTGGACTCTGGCCCTGGTGAGAGCAATATGGTCAGGACAGCATTTTTTATTTTTTTTGTAATTGTATTATATTTAATAATTTCCTAGGTTTTTGTTCACTTTGTCAGTTTTGTTCTTAATTGCATTCTTTTTGTCTCTACCTTTGGTTTGCAGGAACAGCAAATTTCTAGACTAGTTATTCTTCAATGTCCAGTAAAGGACATTAGCCTCATGGGTCAAACCAGTCAGGGAATTTTCCTCTGAAATAGTGTGAGAATAAATGGTCTGTCATTTGATGCATCCGAAATGCATTGGTTCCTGTGGGAGTGCTGTACGATAGAGCTTATCTAACTTGCAGCGTTTAACACAAAACACACTTTGTTCTAAAGAGAAAGAAAAGAATAAGGGCAAGAATAGTTCAGGCATGATCAGCATTCACTCACCTCAACCTCCGTCTCTGTCTGTATTGATCAAGCTCAGTTCAAAGCCTTGTGTCTTTTGACGGTTTGATAACATAGACACTAGTGCTGCTTGACTGCACCTGCAAACCAGACGGCCAACAAACATGCATCTCCTCCCAACTAGTCAATAGGCTGTTCAAGCAGACAGAACTAGATCAAATGAATTTAAGGCATGCGATAAACCCCTAATCGACCCAAAGTGAACCTCAAACCAATCAAATAGGTAGGTATGTAGCAAGTACCTAGCTAGTTATAGTTTTCCAGACTAGTTTACTGAAGTGTTGTGGTGTCATCCTTTAGCTGGAGTGCTGAGCTGAGCGAAACACTGATCGATGATCATGTTGACTCTGGAGCAGTGCTTTTTTTATTAGGAGACTAATTAAAGGGAAAGCTGCTCTCAAGGAAAGAGGCTGAAACATGAGAGAGAGAAAATAGGGAGGAGGGTAAGAGACATTATGGAGATGAGATTTATGATATCAGCAGTGAACCAGAGGCTTATCCAGTGATGTTGGACGATTTCAAATGTGTGCTTTAAAGCCACGTGTCTTAATACTAGTATTAATATTGCATTTCTTCTCTTATTTGCATTTCTTCTTTTCTCTATTCTCCTCAGGGTGGCTTTTATAAAGGTGTGGCAGGATCTCAGGTGACTCTGTCCAGTTTGGTGAACCAGAGCAGGGCCATGCTGGAGGAGCAGGCCAGACATCTGCTGACCGAACCGGAGAGGCAGACCATGGGTTACTACATCCAAGAGTACCGTGATGGTCACATCGGTGTTGAGCAGCTGGTCATGGCCCTCCTTGAGCTGTTCAATACACATGCCAAGGTGGAGACTTTTACGTCAGTCTTTACATTGCTCTTCCCGAAAAAATGCATGTGATCATGTTTGGAATAATAATCTGCCACAGTTTAACAGTCTAACAGTTTTGCTCTCTACTTTATTTCTTGATTTTTTTTTTCTTGATGTATTATCATATTTTGTAGTTTCTACCAAAATCAGTATTGTTAGTTCTTGTTAATACTATAAAAAAAATATATATATATTTTAAGATTTAAAATTACTTTTGTTGTTGTTTTTTAATAAAATTGAATATTATTATTATTAATAATAATAATAATTATCATTATTATATAAATCTGAATTCATAATATATAAATAATAATAATAAATGTTAGAATGATTTCTGAAGGATCATGTGACACGGAAGAATGACTGCTGAAAATTCAGCTTTGCCAATAAAAGAATAATTTACATTTTAAACGATATTAAAATAGAAAAGCTATGTTAAATTGCAATAATTTCACAATACTACTGTGTTTTATAAAACATTAAAATCTCATTTCATCCCCAAACTTTTGAATGGTAGTGTAACTACTTTAATTTTCTGAATTTTATACACAAATCTTTTTTTCTTTTTTTTTTATTAAAGACTTTACTGGCTGAATGAATTATTATTAATAATACTCATAATGCTGACACTACCCAAAATGTCCCCAGTATATTGGGCCATCATTGTCTGGAGATTTACAGCGAGTATAACCTAATAATATATTCCCATTTATGAACATATTAAAACCCTTGAGATAAAAACAATCAACACGAGCCCGGTCACATTCACGGCTCTGGATGTGTGTGTATTTGCAGTTCTCCCTGCTGTCAGAGGTGAGGGGGCTCGTGGCCCCTCAGGATGTGGAGAGATTTGACGGCCTGGTTCTGAGACGAGAGATCGAGGCCCTGAAGGCGAGGCAAGGTGGCGGAGCTGGGTTTCAAGACTCTTTCTCCATGATTTCTTACCCTGACACACTGGCCTCCTCCTCAGCCAGCTTCATGACCAACACCACCCTCAGCTCCGCACGGGTAAGAAGAAACATCTGTGTTCAGAATGAGTTTCTATTGAATGCTTGTGCGCAATTATTATTGAATCAGACCCAGTGTCTGTATCTAGAATTTCAGGCAGGAAGTGTTTAAGGCTGTGCTTCTGTATTAGTATGGGATGAGTGGATGGCATTGTTGCTGTGTATGACATAGACATAAAAAGCTGTTCACAAAATTGGTGGGCAATTTGGCCACAATGAAGGCATTTGCAGATTACTAGGATACAAGATGAAGGGCTGTAAAGTTGCTGTGGGAAACAGCTTTTGTCCTTTCTGTTGGAGGCTTTTATGTCCATCACTCGAAACCTGTCTGTCCTCTTGTCTCACTCTGTCCAGGCATGTCTCACCTCAGCTCATCTTTGTCTCGGTGTGAAAGTGCAGCTGTTTAGATTTGTAGCCGTCTCAGTTCACAGGTCTAAACACCCAATTCCCTATCCCTCTCAATAAAACAGGAAAGACTCCTCTGGCTGATAGATATGATGGAGGTAGGTTAAACAATCTCTCGCTTACCTTTACAAAATGTACCATAGTAACCGTAGTTCCCACCAGCAAACCATAAAAATATATTACTGTCCTTACTTAAGTACTGTAGTAATATTCAGCGCAGTTTGTCCTGCACCATTTCTGCTGCAGATATGAATGATACCTCAAATGATGCAGATTATTGAGGAGAGGTGTGTTATTACTTTTCAGAGCGATTAGACTTATGATTTTTGCCCAGTGAGCGATGAAATGGCTGAAAAAAAATCATATTAACATTAAAGGAGGTACTTGAACAATACAGTATCTAGGGACTGGAATATCATAGAGACGTATGATGGGGTTTTTTCCCCAGTAACCAACCACCCAGAACACCCTAGCAACTGCATAGTAACACAAGTCCACCTAAATCACCCTAGCAACACCAATCCACTCAAAAGACCCTTGCAACTGCATAGCGACACAAAAAGATTGACCTAAAACACCCTAGCATTTGCATAGCAACACTAAAACTCCACCTGGAACACCCTATAAACTGTATAGCAACATAAACTAATCCACTCAGAAAACTACAGAAAACTAACTCCTAGCTACATAGCAACACTAAAAATCCACAAAACACATTAGCAACTGCATAACAACGCACACAAATCCACATCGACAACACAAAAAACAACCAGAGCACCTTAACAACTGCAAACACAAAACAAATCCACTCAGAACACCTTAGCAACTGCATAGCAACACAAAAAACAACCAGAGCACCATAACAACTGAAAACACAAAACAAATCTTCTCAGAACACCTTAGCAACTGCATAGCAACACAAACAAACACTATACACTCAGAACACCTTAGCAACTGCATAGCAGCCCAAAAAACAACCAGAGCACCATAACAACTGAAAACACAAAACAAATCTACTCCGAACACCTTAGCAACTGCATAGCAACTCAAACACTATACACTCAGAACACCTTAGCAACTGCATAGCAACACAAGAAAACAAACAGGCCACCTTAGCAACTCCCTTACAACCACCCACATTACCATAGAATTAAGCACCATTCAGATCCTTTTTTAAAAATTGTCATTTTTAAATACCAATTATGGATGCTTGTTTCCGCCACTGAATACAAAATAAAAAGGGTAATTATGACGCAATTCAGATTTTTCTTCAATTGTGAGTTGTAAGGTCAAAATTATGTGAAATAAACTTGCAATTGACAAGTCAATCGCAAGTTTATATTTCACAATTCTGAGAAAAGAAGTCAGAATTGCGATATATAAACTCGCATTTGGTGGAAAAAAAGTAAAAACCGCGAGAGAGTCAGAATTGCAAGTTTATATCTTGCCATTTTTACTTTATTTCTTGCAATTTTTACTTTATAACTAAAAAAAAAAGTCAGAAATGTGAGATAAAAATGATTATCTTTTATCTATTTATTTATTTTAGCTTCCATAACCAGTAAATATAACTAATAACATATTTTGGTGGAAAATATGGTTACTATGGTATTTTTTTTAAAGGTATTTTTAAAATATAAAAATGCATGTTTTTTCGGTTTGGGTGTGTCTCTAGCAAACACATATATTAAAGAATGAGTTTGCTATGATGTGGTTTTGTTTTTAATACACACTCACACATACAGGAACATAATACAGCACAGTTTATATTCTCTGCATGGATTGATCCCTCTCAAAGTCACTCATGTCTGTGTAAATGTGTGGGTTGCGTGTGTGTGTGTGTGTGTGTGTGTGTGCACTTTGGAAATAAGCGAATGTATTTGTATGCAAGCTTTGTTTGTGGCCCTCCTCTGTGGATTGGTGTTGTTGTAAGCTTGCCAGCTCTGGCTCTGGTAATTACAAGAAGCAGCGGCGGCGGTCCACACTGCAGCCCCGCAGAGCTCCTTCAGATGAAACGCTCGCTCTGGGACTCTCATCCTGGTACTGCACCTCATCAGCCATATGCAGAGCTGTCACCGCAGATAAGCCCCCACTCCCCCCCCTCCCCAGACAAAATAAAAAAAGAAGAAAAAGTGTCGCAGAGAGCGTCCTGATTTATGCTCCAGTGGAGCACAGCAGGGGATTGTGGGAAGGTGGAGGACCTGAGCCAGTACAGTGCAATGCCTTTCTGAGTCTGCTCTGCTGTCTTAGTTTGAAGGAAGGGAAGGGAACAGAACATTGTGTCCAGCCAGATTTGCTGAATGGGTCTCCAGTGGTTTGATATCATTGGCTAATTTTTGCACTTAAACGATTGTAGTTAGTATTTTTTTATTATTATTCAGCAAGTGACCGTAAATACGCATTTTGAAAATCATGGTTTCCAACAAAATATTAAGCAGCACGACTGTTTTCAACATTGATAATAATAATAATAATAAATGTTTCTTGAGCAGTGAATCAGCATATTTGTATGATTTCTGAAGAATCATCTGAAAGACTGGAGTAATGGCTGCTGAAAATTCAGCTTTGTGATTACAGGAATAATTGCATTTTAAAATATTTAAAAACAAAAAAGTTATTTTAAATTGTAATAATATTGTACTATATTAGTTTTTACTGTAGTTTTAATCAAATAAATTGGTGAGCCTTGGGTGAGTATTTCTTTCAAAGAGTTTTTTTCTTTTCTTTTCAAAACTCCAAACTTTTGAATGATAGCATATATACGTGTATGTATATTTATGAAACTGATACAAAACTTGCATAATTTTGATACAAAAATCACTGAAAATAATAACTTGCAGTTCAGTTAAAGTTAAGGGTTAAAAGTTCAGTTAATGATTCATTAGACTGATTCAATCTGGTAACTCTTTTCTCTCTCTCTTTTTTTTTTTTTGATAACTATCCATTATAAGAATTGACTCATAAGAGTAATTTGTAACGATTCATTAAAGAAACCGACTCATAAGAGTCATTTGTAACTATTCATTAAAAGAACCAAATCATCAGACTCATTCATTCATGATTCAGACTACACTGTTCATGCTGTATGGTTTTAATTCACTAAAAAAAAAAACAATCATGAGAGTCATGTGGTCATAAATTGCATTGTATACTTTTTTTTTCATGCGGCTCTTGAGGTCAGCTCAATAGCAAGACATTTCTTGCTATTATTTCACAATACACAGTCTTACTTTTGTAAGTGTGAATAAGTTATGTTGTAAATTATGCAATCTTTTACCGTGCCATAGAAAACCACTGGCATTCACTGTATGGGGCACATCATTTAACTTGTGAAAGTCATTCCATTATTTCAAATGATCTTCCTGTGAATAATTTAGAATGTATCATGAAATATAAAAGTGGCATATGTGAATTATAAATTGTACAAATATGCAGCAAAAAAGCACGATTATTATAAGAATGACAGCCAAAAAACATACAACAAATTAGTCCATAAGTGCCTCTTTTGTTAAGTGGTGAACAAGCAAATCAAGTGAATTGATGAGGCTTTGTTTTGGTGGAGGGGAGTTTTAATGAGCTGAATCTTAGGTCTGAATGCAATCAACCGTCAACGTCACAAAACACCTCCCTCTTATTCCACCCAAGCACACAAATCAGGGCTTCTCTTTTTCTCTGTGAGAAATGTGTTTGCGTGCGAGAGATGCGTGTTGGATGGAAAATGAGACTGGATGCGAGATTGAAATGTAGGACTGTAAGTGCAATTGTGTTTTGATGCCCCTCTGTGAAATGGGCCCTCAACAGAATGCAATTTGGATTGAACTTTTGTTTAAGGGATAAACACACAGCTGTATTTTTCATTTGTTTCATAGTCTCTTGTTCTTGTTTTCTCTCTTTTGTTTTTCTCTCTTCCAGAACGATGGTGTCACAGAGAACAACGGGGAACAGTCTCTGGAGCGTAGCAATGCCCTGCCAGACATCTCTCTGGTAAGCCTTTCAGTTTGAGGAGGAACAGGAAAGATAAAAGAGGGGGAACAGAGAGAAAAAGAGGGAGTGTTGGAATCTGCTGAGGTGTGTGGAATAGAGAACTGACATTGAACACCTTGAAAATGACCAGGGGCAGATTATGACCAGTTTTGATGATGGCTTTTGAATGAAACCCGGTTATTAAAACTCTCAACATAGGGGTGGGCGGTCTGACTAAAATGTTATGTCACAGGAAACGTAATTTTGTATCAAAATAACGACATATTTCATATATAGTTTTTAAATTTAATCTAGCAAATGCCATATGAAAACAACTATTTTAATTCATTTTCTATATGTTATAAAATGTATACAATTTTTTCTAGTGTTAATTTATTTTTATTTCAGTTTTAGTTTCAGTTTTCAGTAATTTTAGTGCTTATAAGTACAGCTTATTTCAATTGGTAATATTTGATAGTTTGTTTAGTTTTTCACACAATATTTAATTTTATTTTATTTCAGCTTCTTTTTTTATTGACAAAAATGATAACACTGATTCATAATAGATGAATGATAAATCTGGCCTCAGTACGAAACCAGATTATGAACAGATATGTGATTTCAAAACAGAAGACTTTCAAAACTAACATTATAAAAAATACTCTATATTCTGACTTGAAATTCTGATTGTACATTGAAAAACAAACTGATGTTGCTAAACTGTGCTTCATATGCCCCAGAATGATTAATCCTTCAGTCCTAATCTTTATTTACTCCATATTTCTTGTTGCTGTCATGTAAAGATAACGTATGCAAAGCAGTCCTGCACATTGATGAGAATATATCTACAGTACCACAGTATAGCAAAGTCTCTACTGTTGACATATTTTATACTGTCATGCCGCCCAGCTCTATCTCAAACGGCTGTAAAGGCTCGGCTACTCAGACAGCTGATGGTTGTTTGACGGAAAGAGAGAAATAGACGAGATGATGACACTGTCGTTGAAGGCTGCCCGTTGTTTCGAGAGATGGCCGAGGAAGATTGGGGTCTTTCTCAGAGAGTTTCCTGTTGGTATTCTGATGAAATCCTATCGAGCGCTTCCAAAGGCGCAAGTCTGAAGCATGTGAAAGTAAAGGTTCCAGAGAGCGTTCAGGCCCAGATAAAAAAAAAACATGCAGACGACTCACATTTCGGTTTGATTGCTTTCTAATGGCACTGACACCTCATTCATCTGGCTTGTGCACACTCCGTTCAGCCTTAGTTTGTTCATTTCCCGTGTTTTTTTTTTTTTTTTTTTTTTTTTTTTTGGTTTTGTTTTTTGCTTTGCCACTTGGTCTGAATGAACCGATTGTTCTTGTCCTCAAAGCAATGATTTGTGGGTAATTGTCGAATGTTTTAATGTATGGGTGTATATGGTGTATGTGAATATTACATTATGAGCTGTGAAGATTGTGTTATTGATTGCGGAATGTTTTATTGATTTCCTTTGAAATATCACCTGAAATATGGCATCACTAACGCTCTCCTCTTTCATCCTAGGATGAGGTTCATTCAACCTCAGATTCCCCTCCTACTTTTAAACCTCCTCCTCCCCCAGGGCTTCAGCGCCGACCCAGTCGAAAAGCCACGCTTAGCAAACGTCCCTCTTCTAGCTCCTCCCAATCGGGCTTGTACTTCACCGCCCCTTCTCGTTCCCAGAGCAAAGAACCCAAACACCCAAAAGCACCCAAACCTCACACATCTCCTCTTGACACCCTCAAGATAGATGTCCCAGCACCTCAACTCGCAGTCGTGAGCCAGCATACTATCGGACCGTTCCCCCGGGTCCAGTCTCCTAGTAAGGTGAAGCCCGCCCCTTCTTCCCCAGCATCCAATCAGCACTTTGTCATGGTGGAGGTGCACAGGCCCAACGCAGAGCCTGATGTGAACGAGGTGCGGCCGCTGCCACAAGCGCGAGGTGAGACTGAAATATTTGATGCATTGTGGGCAGCTGCGGATATTTAATATATCATTAACCAGCTCTCAATTTCTATCCTTTCTGGTTATTTTCACCCATTTAATGGCTAAAAAGTCATTATCCTCAATGTTCAAAAGGAAAAATTATCATTTTAAAATAATTAGTTCAGCCAGATATTAAAATTCAAGCATTCAATCAGTTTCTTTTTGTGTTGCATGGATAAAATAACCACATGAGATTTGAATTATTTATGACTTAAATTATGGTTTAACAAATGAAATGAATTATGATTAATTGGGAACTACTTTGGAAAGTAATACAAAGTAATCTACAATTGCGGTCATACATTTACATATACCTTGTAGACTCTGTAAAATGTAATAATTTTAACAAAAGAATATAATAAAAACAATAAATAATAATAAAAATTATACAAGATACTTGTTTTTAGTGCTGTCCTGAAGTATCTATTTTATACCTGGTTCTTAAAAACAAGCAATTTTTATGGTTTTTAAAATTATTAACATTCTGCAGATTCTGCAAGGACTATGTAAATTTATGACTTCAGCTGTCTATCAACTGTTTACATGCAGTTCAATTTCAGTCTGACTAAAGCAATAATTTGTCTTTTTGTCATTTTAAAGCATTTTAGTCCAATTGAAATCATATAAATACTGGAATGCACTAAATGACTTTTAAAATCTGGTCAATGGTTGCATAAGTCGCATGACAATAAAAATATTATTACGGAGTACGAAATAGCATACTGTATAGTAGGTACTACATTTGGTTTGAAACTTGCTTTGTGACCATTAAGGATGTTCTTTGTGTTCTATATAGTATATATAAAGGTGACTAGTATGAATGTTAGTTTGAATGAAATTCGGAAATACTGCATCCGCCATGTTGTCACTGTCATGGGACCTACGGTGTCAAGTGGGTTGCTTCACTGCCATTCACGAATCCTCTCCCATGGCCTCATGGGATACTAAAGTGTCCATCAAATGCACACTTCAGAATCTTGCAAGAAGTAGGAGGTCATCAGGGTGCTTTTCACCTACTGTTATGAATACTATGAATTTGGACATACTCGGCTCACATAATGTTTTTCGCCTACTATATAATATGGAAGTAGGCATATTCAGATGCAGGGTATGTGTTCCTATATCAGCTCAAAATATTCAAAATGTTTGATATCCTCCGATGGGATGGAATCATAGCCTGAAGCTAAAAAAAAACAGAGCCTGCTTAAAATGACCAAGATCTACCGCAGAGTGAACTAATAGTGCTATCTGAGGACACTGTGGTTGGGCGTAAGCCACTTCCCGGGGCCCTATTTTAGGCCGTCAGACACAAAGCAATGTGTATCATCAAAGCCAAATGTGTCTTTGCTTCCTATCTCTGTTCCCTTTCATTCTCTCTCCCTCTCTTTGATTTGCTACTCTCTTGTCTCTCTTTTTTCTTCTCTCCTCCTCTTCCCATTTTTCCATCCTGTCTCTAATCTGTCTGTGAATCTACCTTGCAGCCGGGTCTGTTGGAGCCTACATCCACTCTAGTGAGAGTGGCAAAAAGCGCCAGTACTCTGGGCATCGCAATAGAAGGTGGGGCAAACACACGTCAGCCCCTCCCACGCATCGTTACCATACAGGTGAGTAGCCCATACAGAGTTATTTTATATAAAATAATAAATATAAAGTCAAATAATATTAAATATTTATATATTTTTTATAATATATTATAATAGTCAGATTTAATAAAAAAAATATATTAAAAAAATATACAGTACATACACAAATATAAAAAGTGTGTTTTTATGTAAAAAAAAAAAAAAAAGAACAAAAATACTGATCAAAATACAGTAAAAGCACTAATATAGTAAAATATTGCAATTTAAAATAACTTTCTGTTTTAAAATATTTTAAAACATAATTTATACTTATGACGGCAAAGCTGAATTTTCAATAGCCATTACTTCAGTCTTCAGTGTCCCATGATCCTTTAGAAATTATTCTAAAATGCTGATTTGTTGCTCAGGAAACATTTCTTATTATTATCAACATTGAGAACCATTGAAAACTGTTCTTTTAATATTTTTGATATATGTTACTGATGGTATTAAAGAAAGTCACTTTTTGTCTTAATTTATTCCAATTTATTTGCCTTCATTTATTCTATTTAATTTATTCCATGAGCAAAAGTGTCCAATAGTATGGAGGGTTACTAAGATAAAGTAAGTAACATTTTACTGGTCATGTGATCTCAACATGGCAGCTCCCATGAGCCGATATTTTTATTAGGCTACTATATGTGAATAAATATGATTTTTAACATATTTTATATTAATTTCTATTTTATATTATATAAATTACTGAATAACCTTTTAAGTATTATATTTAATGTATCTCACACTGTTTGTGCTACAGATATGAATGACACCACAAATTGTGAAGCTTGAGGAGAGGAGTTCTATTACTGTTCTATTATTTGATTGTCACCTGGAAGATGGTAAAACGGGAGCAACGGTAGTCATATCTAGCAGCGAGAATGTCATGGAGACTTGTATAGGGGGCTCTTTTGAGTTGGTTTAGTAAGCAACCTCCTAGAAAACCCTAGCATCCGCATAGCAACTTTTAAATTCCAGCACCTTGACCAACATCCTAGCAACATAGCGTGATTTTTGTACAGGCAAGCGCCACACATTTTCTCCCATTGTAGTTCATCTAACAATACTGAACCTGAGTATGAAGTAATACTGTAGTACTATTGGGCGGCTGCCAGGTTTTACAGCTGATTATACAATTTCAAAACCCTCTGTCAGGTCTAAAGCCAATGCAGAGCTAAATGAGTCCCAATCATGTGCTCCCTGCCGTCAGTCATATATAGGTCTATAAGAGAGCCGACAGCCTTGCTGAATTAAATAATGAGCACAGGAACATGTTATAGACCTCCAGTTGTAGTCAGCTGTAGCGCAGAAAGCAGCTGTTGATGTTTGATGCCATTGTGGCAGTGGATTATTCCTGATTCTGTCTTTTCTAGTACTTAAAATCTCAAGCACACTGTTGAACAGGCTTGTGGGAACGCTGGTGGTTAGGTGTGCAATTTGTAGAGCGAGTTTATATGTGAAAGGCTCTCTGCGTTTCTACGTCCGACCGCGCTGGAGAGGAAATGATGTGCATTTTAAGGAGGTAACTGCTTCGGCTGTGAAAGACGAATCTGAAATTACAGTGCCACTGATTACAGTTGATTTAGCAGCAAATCAGCACCTTCTTAATAAAAGCTTGAGAGACAAAAAAAGAGCAGACGCTGGAGAACAGGAGAGACTGAGCAAAAATAAGAATGTAAGAGACAGTGAAAGTAAGCTAGAAGAAAGGAAGTAAATGTAGATTGAGAGATGTAGAAAGTGCGTCTGGGGAGGAGAGAAATGGACAGGCTTGAGTGGGTTTTAATTCCCCGGCTGCAGTCGGTTCATCAGCGTCATAATGAAAATCCAACAACAAAAGCGCCTGTAGATTAGATAATGTGGAGCTCTTTTGTTTCGATCATTTTGAGGCGGTGAATGAAAGAAGACTGAAAGAAGACCGTGCTGGTGAGATCTAAGTGAGTGACTCTTGCATTTTAACCTCCATTAGTTTACTACTTCCTGTTGCATAAGTGCTGTCATGCTCTGAAGCAGACTGACTTATGATCAGTAGTTTCAGGCCAAGGATTAAAGGGGTTAAATTGGGATTTTGGAAGCTGGGGGACCCTAAAATCTGTTGCTCTAAATTATTATCTCCCAAAAAAAAAAACTGTAAAAGATAAATGATCAATCAAAAATGTTATGATGTGGACTGTCTGATGAATGTTGCACACAAAAATGGCAAGAGCTTTCTAAAATTGTAATCTGTAATCTGATTGGTTGGGTTTACGTAACTTCCAGGTGAGGTTCTTATAGCTTTGCCATTTTTATTTTATTTTATCCTGAGAAACAAAGGTGGTTAAAACATACCAGCGGTTTGTTTTCAGTTCAGAATTGTCTGTATGTACAGAAATTCTGACTGCAAAGACAGCACACATTTCTTTGGTGTTATCAAGTGTTTACAGAGACTGCTGCAGGATTATTTGAATGAGCTGGCACTATCACTTAAAGGGACAGTTCACCCAAAAATGAAAATCCTCTCATCGTTTACTCACCCTCATGTTGTTCCACACCTCTATGATTTTCTTTCTTCTGTGGAACACAAAAGAAGACATTTTGAAAAATGACTTTTTTTGTAAAGTCTCTAGTGTCGTTTAGACACAACATTCTTCAAAACATCTTCTCTTGTGTTCCACATAAGAAAGCCATACGGGTTTGGAACGTCAGGTTAAAAAAAAATTATGACAATTTTAATTTTTGGCTGAAATATCCCATTCAGGATTACTTTAGTATTATTTATGTATTAAAGTACTCATTAATAGTATTTAATTTATTTATTAGTATTTATTTTGAATTTTATTTTTTATGTTTTCATTTTAATTCTTTTGTTTTAGTAATTTTGTTATGTGCTTCTGTCATTTTTATTATTATTTTTTATTTGTTAAGCTTTATATTTTATTTCAGTTTTATTTAAATTAACAAAAACTATTTTTAATAGTTTTCATGTTAATTAACAACAGCAACGCTGATCTGTGTTGGGCAGTTTTTTTTAGGTTGTTCTTGACCAGCCTGAAGTGACCAGAAAGCAGCTGTAGGATCTGCCTTCATGATCAGTATACACTTCAACTTAGAAACGTTAACTTACTAAATGAACAACTTAATTTCAGATTCAAACATGTCTCAAATCTCTCTAGTGTGATTAAATCTGGGTTTTCAGCAAACTATCAATCATTTCTCCACCTGGGATCACTCAGTGATTAATTATTTTAATTTTCAACTTTGATGAATACGTTCTTCTTTGATTTCCCAGTTGAGATGCACAAACAAATGGCATATATTCAATCTAAATTCAGTTTTTACCCAGAGGGAATATAACTTTCTACTCGGAGCCAAATCTACTCTATAAATACCATATCTGTGTGACTGCAAGTGTATTTAGCACCAAAACCGGACTGACAACCATATTCTGTTTCTATGTGAACATAGTTGGTCTGAGTCAAACATTAAATCAATTAATCTTCATTTTGTCAAACTATCTCCATTTTCTTTCACACAGAGAGGTGGTTCGGCTAGTAACTGTGGACAGCTGAAGGTGGGTCAGGTGATCCTTGAGGTAAACGGAGTGTCTCTCAGAGGAAAGGAACATCGGGAAGCCGCACGTCTCATCGCAGAGGCCTTTAAAACCAAAGAGAAGGACTACATTGACTTCTTGATCACAGAGTTCAATGTTGCTCTATAAGACCGTATGAGTCCCATGATGCTGACGGAATAAAAGAGCACTGGGATGCACCGCGACCGCGATGTCTTGCCATGATTAACCCCCAGAATCCTGTTACATGCTAGACTTCAGCTCATCCTCCTCTGTGGTGTTTTGATACCAGTCACTGTTTGAAAGGCCATCCTGTGTGAGCCAACCCCGCGTTGACCTTTCCGACGGCAAATGCCAGGATAGAGCAAAAGTTCAGTCTGTTCTGTTCTGTCGGTTTGTTTTCGAAGATGGGACCATCTTTTCAGTTCTTTATGAGATTCTATAATGAAATTTGGTCACCTGACCGCAATACGGCAAGAGACTCTTCAGCAAGCTTGGATCTGTGTCGTGTTTTTGATATACGATACCATCATGGAGTCTAGGCCCAGCATCTTGTCCTGGTGTGAGAGTTTGTGTGAACGTGTCATGGAAATCATTGTTGTTGTTTTTTAAAGTCATAGCTATTTTATAAGAAAGATGTGAAAATGGATCAAATGTGTTTAAAATATATATTTAAAGTTAAAGAGATGCACATAACTACTGATTATAGTAAATAGTGACTAACCCCATAGAGATTCGAACTGAAGTGCTTCTCTCTACAGATTTCTGTGAGCAGAACTGCTGAAACATCTGTCATCTGCCTTTTTTTAACTAGTCAGCCGGTTTACATTTTTGATTATAGTTTGTGCTGTTTTGCAGTTGTTGTTGTTTTTTTTGCATCATACAGTAATTACTAAACCATGGCGATCAGTCATTAGGACAGAAATGCTGGAGTCCTGAGAGACCAGATGTCTCAGTTTCAAATATCTAGTGAGCTGCCTACGTAGACAGTATTTTAAGACAGCATAGGCACTTACAATTTTAAGATACCTTGTTTTGGCCTAATTTTAAGGCAGATGCACATGCATCGGGGCTCAACAATAAGGATTACTCATTGACCCTGATGTTAAGACATATCGTTCAGAAGTTTTGGGTAGATACATTTTTCAAAGAAGTCTCTTACGCTCGCCATAGCTGCATTTATTTGACCAAAAATACAGTAAAAACATAATATTGTGAAAATAATCACAATTTATTTACAAATATACTACAATTTAAAATAATTATTTTCTATTTTAATCAATTTTAACATGTAATTTATTCTGTGATGCAAAGCTGAATTATCAGCAGCCATTACTCCAGTCACATGAGTGTCACATGATCCTTCAGAAATCATTCAAGAACCCTTTCATATTATCAGTGTTGAAAACAGTCTTTTATGGAAACCACAATATATTTTTCCAGGGTTCTGAAAAAGGGTTCATGACTATTATTGCAAAAACTTAATAATGATGATAATATATTTTAATACTTTTAAATACATGCAAAATATTCAATGTAAACATTATATAAAAAATATATAAAATCTAATATATATATATATATGAAATATATAAAATTATACAGAAATTCATATTTTATATAATGTTTTGTGTGTGTTGGGGACAGTGAAAAAATTGGCAGGGCAGGTAGAAATCCAAACTACTGGCCTAAATCAACATTGACTAAATCAAAATGTTGATTTTTTAAATTCAGTACAGCTAAAAACAGCAGCATGCTAATGCCCAACTGTTGAAATCAATTGCGAGTCGATTCTCCTGTTCACTTACTACATAGTGTTCCAAATCATTCACATTTCAGCTGGGATGCTACCTATATAGGCCGTAGACGGCAAGGCAGCTCACTAGATTTTGGGAAGAGTCTTTGAGGACACACCGGCATTGTGAAGAGTCTCAGAGAAAGAAAAATCATTCTCAGATTTATTTAGATTTAGCGAGAAAATGAGAAGACCCTTTATCCAGTTATCAGTGGTGAAGCAAGAACTTCACATTGCAATCAGAGACGAGCAGCCATCGAAATTAATGAAAAGTTTAGATCTTCAGCGAGGGATCTGATTGATGCATTGAAAAAAAGGCATTCAGACTGGGATAAGGTGGCAACACAAAGCAACAATGTGTCAGTCATGTTACATAAGAGGGAACAAGTGGGAGAGGAAATTGAGAAATGGTGTTATTGTAATGTGTGAGTCTGTCTGTCTTTGAATGCAGAGGCAGAGTGTGAAACAGTCCCACAAAGCCAAGATGTGTGTGTGTGAGAGGCAGAGTAAAAACTACCTGAAGCTTTGAAATATTGACTAGTGCAAGCACAGGACTGCTCATTTCCACCTGCCCACCCTCTCTAATATGACAGCCATCTTAAGCCCACCTAGATCACATATGCCACCATTTTCACTCCTCTACAGTCCCTCACACAGTGTGTTGCCTGTTAGTCTCAGACATTTGAACAGTGTATATATGGTATATCTATATATTTTAAGTAAATTATTTGTAAAAAGTTGATAATATAATTTTGAATTATTTTCCTTTATATAGCCAAGGTGCTCAGAGGGAAGACAGGCAAGACAGAATGAACAACTTATATAGATGCAAAAAAAATATGATTTTTCGTACTCAGTGTTTGTCTTGTTTTGTAGTACAAATATCTAAAAATTCTTAAATCCCAGCATGAAAGTTTGCTGATATCGTCCTCTTTTGGAAGGCCAAACAAAGTACTTTTTCTTTCGCAGCAAACCACACAGTGTCTCCATGACATGGCGGCGTTTTATATGGTTTAATACTACAGCGAGAATAAAAGTTATGCCTTCTTTCTTTGCGTGAACATTTGGGTGGCGTTATGTAAATCTTCCCACATAGTGACGTAGATATGTGGGGGCGTGTTAGAACGAGCCGTTTTAGGTAGGCGTGTTTGACTCTTAACTTTTATAAAGAATATCTCTTTGGATTTGAGACTTTAGTCTTTGCAACTTTACAGATCTTCTTTATGCACCAAGAGCTTGTAACACTCCAAAGAGAAAGGAAAAATTAAAAACGCATCATATGACCCCTTTAAATATTTGTACTAGTAAACAAGACAAAATACTGTGTAAGAAAATAATTTTTTTGCTGTGAATGTAATGGATTTGCTGCTCCGATTTTATCACTTGTTTGTTTTGTTGCATATTTGTTTTATCCTCGTCTCTTTTACTTCCTGCAGTTGGGTATTTGCACTTTCATCAGTCATCTGAATGCAGTAAAGCATTTACCAGTCAAATCTTCTCCCTTGAAATCTCAGTTCTGCAAACACCTGACAGACAGCATTAGGAATGATATGTACTCTTTGCTTCGATGCTCAGTCCCACGGATGCAGAACATTAATGGCAAAGTCCTGAATGCACAAAGGTATCAGTATGAAAAGCTTCCAAGGAGAGAGAGAGGGGTCTTTGCACCAGCATCTCTCAACCCACCGATGCAGCTCTTCAAATGGAGATCAGTTCTCTGTAGCACACGTGTGGAGCCGCAGAGCTGTTGTGTTTTCATTGGTGGACAGGAATACAGATTAAAGAACAAAGCATGTCTGACCGTACTGACCTTCAAATATGCATAAACATACGATTACTCACAAGTCCCCAAGCACATTTACAGAATCAAGATCGAATGTTCAGGATTCGTCCTGAAAGTCCTAAAAAATGAAATGCTGCTTATCTGTTGATTGCAAACCTAGGTCAGACTAGCGGTTTTATTTTCTGTTCATTTTCAGTGAGGTTTGTAGTTTTTATAACCTTGTTAACAAAATGTGGAAAATGTAAATGTACAGTTTAAAACTTAAATTAAAATAAAAACTGAAAATATACAAATAAAAGGCCATTAAAAATATTAAATCAAAATAGACCAAATTTATCAAGTTAAAAAATAATGGAACAAATATACTAGAATTATCAGGGTTGCAAATGTAGCTGAAATTAAGCTGTCATGCTAGTGTGGATCAAAATGTTATTAATAGAATTAAATTAAAGGTGCAATAGGTGATTGTCTTCAGAAACATTTTTTGTTATGCTGGTTGAAAGTCTCTTCACATCCCGATAGCAATCATTAAGTTAAGTGGTCTAAATGTATTTGTCTGTATTTATATATTCTGTGGAAGGTGTAGGATCAAGAAATGTTCGTCTAATCAAAACGTTCGGTCCGAGCGTTTTAATATGCTGTCCTACCTGCCTGTCAACATATGTATTAGCATAACTCTGCGCACCCTGTTCGCGCAGACAGAATACGTCATCAGCGCGTTCACGCACACTGTGCAGACAGAGCGAGAATTAAATTTTGAAAGAAACTTTTGATGCTAACTGATGTCAAAATGAAGTGCACTACAGTTCCAAAGTTTGGGGTTGGTGAGAGATTTTTTTTTATGTTTTTTTTTTTTGTTAAATGTTTTTGAAAGTCTCTTATTTCAGCAAGGCTGCATTATTTTATTAAAATACAGTAAATATAGTAATATTGTGAAATATAATTAAAATGTACAATAGCTGTTTTCTACTTTAATGTATTATAAAATGTACTTTTATTCCTGTGATGGCAAAGCTGAATTTTCAGCAGTAATTAATTCAGTTCTCAGTGTCACATGATCATTCAGAAATCATTCTAATATGCTTGAGATTTGCTACTTAAAAAACTTTTCTTGTTATTATCGATGTTGAAAACAGTTTGCTGCTTAATATTTTTGTGGAAACCATAATACACTTTTCAGGATTTTTAAAGGTTCAGAAGAACAGCATTTATTTGAAATAATTGTAATATTTAAAATGTATTGTAACATTATAAATGAACAATTCAGTTCATCCTTGCTGCATAAAAGTATTAATTTATTTAAAAAAAAATCTTACTGCCTCCAAACTTTTGAATGGTAGTTTATCTTGGAAGGCAATGAATATATGACAGTAGTAGGTATGGGTGGGCAAGATGGTTGACTACTTGATCCAACAAAATCAATTACTGACATCAACTAGTTTATAGATTTAAAAAAATGTTAGTTTTAAAGGTGCAATAGGTGATTGTCTTCAGAAACATTTTTTGTTATGCTGGTTGAAAGTCTCTTCACATCCCGATAGCAATCATTAAGTTAAGTGGTCTAAATGTATTTGTCTGTATTTATATATTCTGTGGAAGGCGTAGGACCAAGAAATTTTCGTCCAATCAAAACGCTCGGTCCGAGCGTTTTAATTGGCTTTCCTACCTGCCTGTCAACGTATGTATTAGCATACCTCTGCGCACCCAGTTCGCGCAGACAGGATACTCATCAGCGCGTTCCCGCACGCTGTGCAGACAGAGCGAGGATGGCAGGCAAACATCAACAACCCGATCTTCCTTCCTGGTATTGTAGTGCTTTTAAAGATTTCTCACCTGTGAATGACACATGATGTAGCCCAGCGGTTAATCTAGTCCTCGCGCCAGCTCGTTAGAAGTGAGCTACGTGCATGAACTGGGTTCTGATCGATATGATCCCTACACAGAGTTCATTGCTCCCTAGTCCCTGAGCAGAGGAAATCCGTTTAAGTTTACTTCACTTCGGAACATGGGCTGGAATTGGGAACCTGATGTAGCCTATTGTAGTAATGTTGTCTCTGGTCTGTGAGTGTAAATGCGGTCAGGGGGCGTGGCTTTGGACGGCGATTGCAGGAAGGGTGGGACGTTCGCTTTCAGTGCTATCAGGCTAAAGTTAGCATTTTCCAAGATCTCCTATTGTACCTTTAACTACAACAGGGTTGGGTTTGACGCATACAGGGAATAGGCCTACAACTATACTTATAAAAATTGAGGAATTATTTACTTATTTGATGTTAAATTGTTAAAGAACGTTGATAAAATTATGATTCGTGTTGGATACAGTTAAGAAGGTCATGACCTCTGATGTGGGACAGGCAAAATTACCATTTGATGATGGGTAGGCTATATTTCATATCTAATACTGGTAATGCTTCTAAAAAGTCATGAAACACTAAAGTGAAGTGTGTTTGTGGAGAGTACCAAATGCAGGTCTGGATGACCTTTCAAAACAGCATTTATGACTTCATAAGTGATGAGTAGGCCTATTGGCAGTTAAGAAGATAAAGACTGAGCCCCTTCATCCTGCTGATATCTGCTGGTGTTGTAACTGACAGCATTTGGATGACTGATGATGGGTAGGCTATATTTCATATCTAATACTGGTAATGCTTCTAAAAAGTCATGAAACACTAAAGTGAAGTGTGTTTGTGGAGAGTACCAAATGCAGGTCTGGATGACCTTTCAAAACAGCATTTATGACTTCATAAATGATGAGTATTGGCAGTTAAGAAGATAAAGACTGAGCCCCTTCATCCTGCTGATATCTGCTGGTGTTGTGACTGACAGCATTTGGATAAAGTCAAAATTTCTGCTTGAGCTCTCCTACTTGACCTGCATTCAAAATAATTCCTTTGTGTTTTAACATCAACACATATGCTGAAACATCGCTGCACAGTACTTTTCCAGAATCGTGTATTTATTCATTTTTATTGTCTTATTTCATTCCAATTGTTTTACCTCAACAACCCGCTGCCTTTTTTTCCTCTGTCTGTCTGCCTCTTGTACAGTTTAAAGAGAAGACACAGCTACGGTATGTATACAGAAAGTGTGTATTTATTTTCCAATAAAGACAAAATGCAGGAAAAAAGAAAAATCCCCCTTTGTCTTCCCATTCTTCAACTCCCACCAGTTTCTGGTGCTTTGTGGCAGGTACAAATCTCATTAACTATAATCAGTGAGATAATGTAAAATGAATAGACCCTCACGTCTCACTAAAATATGAAGTAATCCCCTAGCATGCCTTGAAACCCATTTGATCAAACCGATTCATACACAAACAAGCACATGATTATCTGGACTGGTTCGTTATCTGCAAACAGAAGGCATCTTGTGGTTTCTCATTCATTAAAAACCATTAGAGGTGTACAATCCAAATAGAAAGCCTCATTAACAATATATAGCTCATGGCTGGATGAGGAAAACAGGATATGAGGAAATAATTGATTGCAGGCTTCATTTTGCATAGGTCTATATTTTTTGTCTAGTATTAGTGTTAAAAAATAAACTGATGTAAAACGTGAGATTTTTAAGAATGTATGAATAAATAAAATTACTATATTACTGCGATATGAACAAACTGTGGAACCAGTGGGTGGTAATACTACGGTGCTTTGAAATATGTGCACCATATTCTTGTACAATCGTATCCTGTACTCCAAGAATACTGTGCAGGGATACATGGCTAAAATGTGAGGCAATAGTTCCACTACAGTCAGCTACAACTTTAAAAAGCCGTTATATGGCGCCATAATGTGGCTGACAATGGTATCACAACAAGTGTTTTAAAGGGGGTTGATTTATGACTATAACGATAAGCGTGTTGCTCTGTCATTGTACAGCTACACGAGGACATCTCAAAGAGAGAGATAAACTTCCATAGTAAAGTTTCATAGTGATATTAAAGAGAAAGATTGATATTTGGAACATATGAATGGTGTGGGTCTTTTTAACCCGCCGCCTTCTCTGTTGAGCCAATCAAAACGTTCAATTCAGCGTTTGACAGCGAAGCCCCGCCTTCAAAGTTCAAATTAACGTCTCTGTCTGTTCTTAGATTTAATGCTGTATAATGAATTAATTTCTACGTCTTTGTTGTTGCTTGTTAGGATTTTCCTGCAAGCAAAGTTAAAGATTTCCACGCTAGAACACAGAAAACTGGCACATTTCGCTTTGTACCGAGTAGCTCAACGCGCGAGACCCGCTCGAGATGAAGATTGGGACTACAACTAAAGTAAAAGTAAAAGCAACCTGGACCCTTGAGATAACGTTACATGTCAAGAAGCAGGTGAGAAGTCCATGTTTGCCTCATCGCTTGGTGATGGGAAGGACGGGCTGGTGGTGTTAGTTTGTGCTGTTCTCAAGGCAACAGTCTGAAGTTCATGCATTCACACGAATGCACAGACAGTTTTTAGATTTTCAAGGTAAGAAATCTTATAATAGTACAGTCAGTGGGGCTTTGCATGTTAAAGTCCATAATAACAGATTGCATGTCTCAAACAGTAACTTATTTGTATTTCACTGGAGAATAGCGTGCATATTCGCAACTTTCCTTTCTCCTGATCAACAGGTTAAACCTTCTCGTTAGTCAAGTTGTATTCTACTATTAACTAGACAGAAACAAGAGCTTCTTATATAATATATAAAACATATAATGCTATTAAATGAATTATACATAGTACTTATATTTCAGAACCATGAAACATAAATACTATATAAAATGCCTTTGGATTTGCTTTATTATTAACTTTATTAACTGACATGATATGCAAAATAAAGCAGGGTAAGTCAAAATATGGGTTAGTGTCAAGTTATGAAACAGTAAATGTGTAGTTGACATGATGTGAAGTAGCGTCGTTTATGATTATTTTATTTATTTGTTAACATTTAATGTAGCCTTATATTATTTATTATATAATATATAATACATATTTTATATTCTTAATCAGGTCTTTACATCCATGAAACTGCGTATGTTTATTTTATTTTACATGGGATATGAACTAGAATGAGTGATTACAGATCTGAAGTGTATTTCTTACAGGAAAAATGTCATTGTAACTAGAAAAAAAAAGAAGAAAGATAATACTTTCTATGTGCTGAACATTTCCTCTAACAGAACATTTTTCAAATTATGATCAAATAATCCCAAACATGCCTTGTCAACCAAGAAGAGATGCTCAAAGTTTGAATATGGCACACTGATTTCATTGCCTGACATTAGAGTTGATCATGTGGCCTGTCTGATTACAACACAAATATTCTTCCTCGGACCCTGTGGATCTTCTTGGCCCTTAAGGAGCTTTAGGGCTCACTGTTCATTTTATTAATCTGTTCAGCTCTATCTGTGTGTGTGGGGGCACTGTTATGTAGGCTATTAAGTACAGTAACAGTGAATGATCTATATATAGAATACGTGTTGCTTGCTTTTGGCTGAGCTCACCACAGGCTCGCTGAATGGATGGCGGAGATTTAGACAAGCGTTTAATTAACGTATGCTGCAGAACGCACTGCACTCAGGAGATTAGCAGACTCCCTCGGCGACTACGTTTGTGTTCACGCTGGCAGAGGATGCTACAGATTGCTACGGTTTGTGTGTCTCTGGAATTGTTAGTTGCAACAAGCAAAAGTTACATCCACACAAGTGGGTCTGCTACACACAGGACGTGACGACATGAGATATGCATTCTTGTAGTTTATAAAGAAACTTCAAGAATGCGTGTGCTTTTCAGGGTCACTTTAAATTTTTTAGAATATGACTAGATTAGACCCAACGCACTTGTTTTGATTTTAAAAATGACAAGTATGCACAGCTCTGGATGTGGCAGTGACACAATTTAAGGCCTGTAAACCAAATTTAGTTTAAAAAAATGAAAAATGGAACAGTGTTTTTCTTTTATAAGGGGCTTTTCATTTGAAAGTTCAAATGAAAGTTCTTTCCCAGCTATTCATCTTTGCCATGAAGCAGTGTTCTGAATGCTGATTGGCTATTCTGAGAATGATGCTTTGATGCCTGTGGCCGGCAGGGCACGGCAGAGATTGTTGTTGTGTGGTCACCATGGCGACCAAGGGCCCTGTGAAGGTTGTGGGTTGTAGTAGATGAAACAACTACTACACACCATTCACCCCCCAAACTGGTGTTTACTTATTGTTTAATATGAAAGTAAACAATCAAGTGCACCTTCAGGTCAAGTGCATTTTTTGGATTAAAGGGGTCATATGATGTTGCTAAAAAGAACATTATTTGGTGTATTTGGTGTAATGAAATGTGTTTATGCGGTTTAAGGTAAAAAAAAACACATTATTTTCCACATACTGTACATTATTGTTTCTCCTCTATGCCCCGCCTTTCTGAAACGCGTACATTTTTACAAAGCTCATCGGTCTGAAAAGCGAGGTGTGCTCTGATTGGCCAGCTATCCAGTGCGTTGTGATTGGCCAAATACCTCAAGCGTGTGACGGAAATGTTACGCCCCTTACCATGTTGTGATGCCCTCTCCAGCCAGAGCGACAAGACAAAAACATTCAGACCCATTATAAACGAGGCATTTGTTGCATCCAGTGGGGACATAATTATGGATTATAATAACTTATACTGTCTTTTTACGCGTTGCATTGCATCGCGCCGCGTAAACATAAAAATCATGTCTGCATTTGTGATCAGAGAAAGGACAAACAACAAGCCCTTCTCTACGCTGCCCACATTTTGGCTTTTTTAATTTATGCAATGGTGAATTTTTTTTTTGGCAAAATACATGGGTAAAAAAACTCAGTGTTCGGTATTTGGCCTTCGGCCCTGTGTTTAATTTTGTTCGGCTTCGGCCAAGAATTTTCATTTCGGTGCATCCCTAATATATCTTTGATGATGTAATTAGTTTTGTGAAATGTTTTTTTCTTATATATCAGAAGAGCATGAAATGTTGTTGGTAATGCATCAGTCGATCAATGAAAATGATAAGATGTGGTATTTCTGTGTTTTTCAGGTCATGTTTAATCACCTTGATGACACAATGTTCATAAAAACATTTATAAATGGTCAGCCATGAGAGATGACATCAATATTAATGTTGAGCTGCAGGTGGTATAGAAGCTCAAGGTGGAATAAAAGAGAGCGATAAAGAGCCAGGTAATGGAGCGGAACAGAGGTGGTACCACTGCAGGGGTTCTGGTGTGGACACCAACCCCAGCGTACTCCTCTCCCTCAAGCCCAGACGGGATGGACTTCAGCTGGGATGAAGAACCGGATGAGGACTTTCAAAGCCAGATGGATGAGAATGGCATCATTGGTCTGGCAGAGAGTCAAGGGCAGCAGGAGGTGAGGACATCAGAGATGTTTGATTGATATCTGCCCATTTATTGGTCTTTTAGAGCAGTCTCACCAGGGCTCTTCATCAGAAGAATCTCATTACACTTAAAAACACTTGCCAGAGTTCAACTGTATTTAATTAGAAACATTTAATCAATTTATATGCCCTGGTTCTAGATTAATGGTGCTTTTTAAAACTTGCAACTGTTTAATAAGCATCTTATGATTGTGTCAATCAGGGAGAAGAGGAGGAGATTGCAGAAGACCTGTTGTGGGATGTGAAGACCCCTGAGCCTGAGCATGGGCCACCACCTGCACTAGAGGAGATAAGCTGTCACCTGAGTGAGCTGCTGGACTCTGAGCCGCTCTCTCAGGCCACTGGAGATGACTGCCGCTCTCCATCTCTGCGTACGGGTTCAGATCCATTAAACATCCAGCTGAGTTTAAAAGCTTAAAGCTACACTATAGTAACAGTGTAATAAAGTGATTTTAATTTTGTATTAAAGCATTATTCATCCATTAGATATACTGCTTTTCAAACGTTTGGAATCTGTATTCAGCAAGGATGCATTAAATTGGTCATAAGTGACAGTAAATGCTTTTACATTGTTACAACATATTCTATTTCAAATAAATGTGTGTTTTTAACTTTCTTAACTTAACTTTAATGAATCACGAAAATCCACAAAAATATCAACCATCAAAATCAATATGTTAGAATGATTTCTGAAGGATCAGGTGACACTTAAGACTGGAGTAATGACTGCTGAAAATTCAGCTTGTACTTGTTTAGTACAATTGTACTAATATTTCACAATATTATCATTATTGCTGTATTGTTGATCAAGTAAATGCAGCCTTGGTGACCATAAGAGACTTCTTTCAAAAACATTCAAATATCTTCACGACCCTAAACTTTTGAATGGTAGTGTAAGTATCATAAAAATAGTCCATGTGGTCTAAAAGATTCACATTCTCTCGTTTTTAGAGGAAGAACATAAAACAGATGATGGCCGAAGTGTTTTGTTGGAGGATTGGACTGATGATGAGGATGGTACAAGGATCCCAACAATTCACAGGCACAAATTAAACTCTTTCGCACAGAGAGACACAGTGCTAGACATGACCGATGAGGAAACAGAAGAGCAGGACACATGTGAAGATGCTCAGAGATTCATGGATCAAACATTATCTGTCACAAAAGAGATGGCATCTATGTTTGAAAGTGTAAAGAGCTGTGATTACAGTGAGATCCCCCAAAATATTCCAATTTCAGGAATCCCAGAGCATTCTGAGCAAAGTGATTGTGAGGCAGTTGAGGAAACCAATAGACAACTTCTTCCAGTCTCACATTGTATCTCTAGAAACACATGTAATCCCATCAGGTTTCCTCATTTGTCCTCAGGGGAACTGATGAATAACTGTGGGATTGAAGCTGAAACATTTCCAGAGCCAGGCATTAGGGCAAAGTCATCTCTTGGCACCCCTAAAACGTACCACACGGTTAGATCAAAAGGGGAGGAGATTAAACCAAAGGTCACACCTCAAACTTCAGCCAGAAGCCCTGTAATAAAAATCAGACTTGGAAAAACACACCAAGATGGTACAAGTGGAGAAAAAGTAGGGCTACACAGTCCTAACCACAATCTGCAGCCTCCAACGCCCACTCCCAGAAAAACAAACCCAGCTTCCTGTGACGATCAGGTTTCCATTCCAGCACAGTGCATTTCTAAAGCAAGCGTCTCCCCCTCGGAGCGTTCACCACCTCCTATACCTCACCGGTCTTCAGCAATAAGGAACCACAGAACCTCCAAAACCTCTCACACTGATCCAGATGACATCAGGTGAGATAAAAAAATAGACACAAATTCATAATGTGATTTAAGACTTTTTTTTTTTGATGCAATAATTTGACCCATAATTTGAAATAGAATATTTTTTTATCAGTATATATATATAATATATACATTTCTCTGCAAAAAATAATATTAAAAAGAATGAATAGTATTAAAAGTGAATTAAAACGATATGTACGTATATGAAATATTTATTCCTTAATTTACATGAAATAAACTTTGAAAATGTAATTTGTTGTACTGCTTTAAGTTTATATTTCCAGAATTTACAACAGAACCATAATGTGATTAGTCCGTACTTTGAATTTAGCATTATTTTTGAACTGATTATTGCTGTATATGTTTTCTTAGGAAAGGACAGCTAAATCACCCCTTACCTGATTTCTCCAAAGTGGAGCCGAGGGTACGTTTCCCAAAAAAGAGTGGATACAAACCTCCTAAAAGCTGTCAACCTCCTCATGATAGAACTTCACACCTGGATCTTCCTGTAGTGTTCAAGTCCCCTGCTGAGATCGTGAGAGAGGTCCTTTTGAGCAGCTCTGATGGGTCTCCAGGAAGTCCCTCCACCAGTGGGACCCACAAGCATCTGCACAGCACAGTACCAGAGGAGTTCCGCTGCCCCCAGCAGGCCAGCACACTGACGCAGCAGCTTCAGGTATGTAAAGAGTGAATCAGGAAGCACTGAAATGTATTATGTGCATGAACATGAAGTGAAATACTAGTATACTATTTACTGCATAGTATACAGTCGGTAAGATTTTATTTTTTAATGTTTTTGAAAGTCTCTTATGCAATTATACAATTTAAAATAACTGTCTATTTTATAATAACTTTTTTCTATTTTAATATTTTTTGTAATGTAATTTATTTCTGGGATGTCAAAGTTGAATTTCCAGCAGCCATTGCTCCAGTCTTCAGTGTCACATGATCCTTCAGAAATCATTCTGATATGCTGAGTTGTTCCTGCTTAATATGTTTGTGGAATCTGTGATAATTTTTTCAGGATTCTTTGATTAATAGAAAGTACAAAAGAACAGAATTTATTTGAAATAGAAATCTTTTGTAACACGATAAATGTCTTTATTGCAAATGTCTTTATTTTTGATCAATTTAATGCATCTTTGCTAAAAAAAAACAAAAAACTAGTAATTTCTTTTAAAAAAATCATACTAACCCCAAACATTTGAACAGAGTGTATACTGTGTAAGTAAATCAAATCATATTCAGTATGCAACAATAAACATTTTAAACAGTAATATTCTAAATATTTGCAGTTTTATGTAAAAGTAGTCCGAGATGCTTAAATCCTGGTTGATATTCGTACTGCTTCCTGTTCACATTAGAGAGGGAAGTTTAAGTGAATTGCATTGTGGGATGCAGTGTCCCTTTACAGTATGCACTGGTTCTGCACTATGTTTTGACAATTTTTTTTTTTATGTAAAAAGTGTAGCATTACAAACATAATGATACTCAAAATGATGCTGATTTATCCAAGAGTCTTAAAGATGAAGCCATCTGTAATGTTTCTTTATCTGTCTTTTATTTTTTCCTCTCTCTCTTATTCTCACAGGAAGACTATAACAGGCTGCTTACCAAGTATGCAGAAGCTGAAAATACTATCGACCGACTTCGCCTTGAAGCAAAGGTTGGCTTTACAGACTGTTTATGGTTTTTTCCCTTCATCTGAAGGTTGACGTGAATTCAGTGCCATACTCTCCCTCATATCAGCAGGCCTGTCTCCTTTCTGCGTGTGCTCTGATGTCGGCGAGAGCTATTTTTAGACTCCTCAGGCTGAGTCAACACAATATAAATGCAGAATCTCTTTTGTGACCGCCATAATCACAGCCCTCAGTTTAACAGCACCACCGTATTCAAGCACAGGCTCATTTTCAAACTGCGGGCTCTCTCTGATTGTGATGTTTTTCCTTACCTCCGACGACACAAACCATTTTAGAGAAACGCTAGCAAACAAATAAACAAACTGAGACAATAAGCAGTGTACATACAAAAGCATTACTTGTACAAGTCATATTATCTGCATACTTGTATATGAACAGAAATGTACGCAGATAAGTACTTTGTTTTTTACACAGTTAATGCACAAATTAATTATTACATTTCCTTTGAAAGGAATTGAATGCAGTACATTATATATGAAAAAACATGCAATTATATTTTTAAATTGATTAAATACTTAAATTGATTCACAGCCTAATTGGCATTATCATTATCATTTGTTTTGATGAAACGAGCTCTGTTTATTTGTCTGATAAGGTCATACATTGCCTCAGTGTAGAAAACAGCTAATAAACAGTGTCAAGTGACAAAGTGACCTGAAACAAATCTAGGCCTGAGCCATCAACAGGATTAAAACAGGATGTGATGTCATGTCTACTTTCACTGTTACATAACTAAATTAAAAGAGCAATGTTGGTAATTATTTAATGTAGCTAATTTTAGGCTATTTCTCTGTGCGGTTTAGCATCTCCAGCTGCATTTTCTCTAATGCTCATTAAGTTCTTCAGCCAGATGCCCTGGCCATCTGCCTCTGCTTTAACAGACACAACAGCTTGAGATAGACCGGGTTCATTCACTTTAATCCCTTATTGACAGAGTTGTGGTTTCTGGGAATAGATGTGGGTGATAAATTACAAAACTGTAAAAATGGAAATGGCCTTTCCAATCACTTAAAATTCAGACAGAAATATATAATATTTGTTTGATGTAGGGTAGGGGTCAAGTCATTTACAAATTATGGGATCCCCTATGTGAAAATTGTAAGCATATGCTGGTAAGACTGCTAATTGAGATCTGATGATCTGCTTCTGGTATTGGTCCTGTAATAATAAGGATTGTGTTGGAAAATGGGTGGTTTTATTCAAAAGACTCAGAGGTCATGTTGAGGTTATGTTCAGTATGATTTAGTGTCTCAGGGACTTATCAAGAGGGTTCAGTCATTCGCCTCCATTAGGTTTCAGACAGCACGCAAAACCCATTACCTCACACCTAAGTCACGAATGTGTGTGTGTGGTAAGGTGCATGGATATCAGCTTATTGACATTGTATTTTCATTGTATTACTCTATCCATTGTCTTATCGGTAAGTCCAGCAGTGGAAAGCACCATTAAATGGCCTGCTTTATGAGCCCTGTTGTACGTGAGTCTCCTCTGTGCTCCTTTGTGGTTCAGCCACTAGTCTGCAGTAAATCTGAGGGTCTGTCACGTGGGCGGGCAAGACAGGGCTGTATTTCTCTGATGGTCTTAGCATCTACATAATGGGTGGCGACACAGTCTTTGTTATGTTCTTCCCACTATATGTTGGGATTACTTGAGATACTTAAGATCAGACGTCACCAATTATTGTATCATAGTCCAGATCCAAACCTGAGATAATATAATAAATATAATATAAACATAAGTTTTTTTCACATAATGGTAGAGTATACCATGTAACAATAAACATGCATTTAAAGTAGGGATGTAATGATTCACTCAAGTCACGATTCGATTATCTCAACCGATTTGAATCGTCACATATTTGAATCGATTTTCAACCGGCTCGCATTTAATCGTTACATCCCTAATTTAAAGACATTTTATGTAGAGCACAGAGGGGACATTAATTTGTTTACATAGGACACAGGATTGATTTACACGGCATTATGCATAGTGATGGGCCCGTGGATTATTGGCAAAGTAGATTTTCAGACAGATGGTTGCTGATTTCTTTGTCATTTTTGGCCAAAGCAGCACTTTAACCATCAACTCATGATTGTTGTGTATGTGCTGTGTGTTTACAGGTGGGTCTCTGTTCTGAACCCCCAAAACCCAGTACAGCTATCCTGTCAGGTGTTATTCAGGAAGGGTCAAAGGTCATAACCCTCAATTTCCCTCAAGCACAGAGGGCAGAGTTCAGCGCAGTCTCTGCTCAACTGGCCCAGCAGAGGGATCACTCAGGTACATCATACTGAAACTTAAAACTTGTATTTAAAAATCACACTATTATACTCAAAAAGAAGTGATTTTTTTTTTACAGAAACTGAAATTACATTTTTTTTTTTTTACCAAAAACTGAAATAGAAAATAAAGTTGAATAATCTATTAATTAATTAATTAATTAATTTAATAATCAACATAAAAAGTGTGTTGTTTACAAACATTACAAACTGTTTCTTTCAACATACCTTCTGTTTATTCATGTTTATTTTGTGATATTACGAGTAGTAAAGAGGAAGATATGATCAGTTCACATGCCACTTGAACTAAGGTGTCTACCAGCGATCTGTCATTCCACATTAAAGAGTTCCAAACCACATTTGTTTAAATTTCAAGATGCCTTGTATCAACTTTAAAACAAAAATTTAATTTCAGAACAGTCTTATAATCTCTTCTAAATTTACTTTGCAGTCAAACTGAATAATTGTTAAATCATCTCAAAACTACTTTGATCACATTGTAGAAAACTCTAGAAGAACACCAACTCGCTCTTCCTCTGTGAACTCGGTCAGCTCAAGGAGGTCTGGATCTCTCACTGCAGACCATCTAACAGAGACTCTGACCAAACAGACTCATAGATTTCAGCTACAGGTAACCAGCTTTAAAATAACATTTTTGATAATTCAGATTAACAGGCATTTTATTTTAACAGCGGTGCTTTAAACCCAAAATCTTTTTTTGTTTTTTTTGTTCAGGTTGATGCTTTTGAGGCACTTCTAAAGAATGGGAAACTCAAGCCCTGTGAACAGATAAAGGTATGCTGATGCTTTTCTAAAAACAAGCATTTTTTAAAGGCATGACGTCAGACTGACTCAGTCTGAATCATCTACAGGGTTTCTCCACACTGGCACAGGGGCAGGAGTCTCTTGAAAGGGCTTACCTAGATGCACGAGGCCAGTATCAGATGCAGCAGCAGCAACAAGGCGGGCTTGAAACCTTTGACCCAGACAGGTAGCCTCTTTTTATGTGTATGTATATATACACTACCATTCCAAAATTATTTGAAATTAATACTTTTATTAAGTAAGAATGCATGAATTTGATCAAAAGTGACAGTAAAGACATTTATAATGTTACAAGAGATTTGTATTTGTAAATAAATGCTGGTTTGTTTTTAAATTTCTATTCATGGAAAAATAAAAATATTAACCAGATCAACTCTTTTCAACATATCACCAGCACACGAGAATGATTTCTGAAGGATCATGTGAGACTGAAGTCTGGCTGCTGAAAATTCAGCTTTGCCTCACAGGAATAAATTACAGTTGAAAATATATTAAAATAGAAAACAGGTATTTTAAATTGTAATAATATATTATTTGCACATAGATAAACTTGTCATTGTCTTTTGTTGCTGATGCAAATATTGATGACGCTGTGCTTCCTGTGTTCTTCCTGTGCCACTGGTTTGAAGTACTTATGTTGATCAAAAGTGACAGTAAAGACATTTATAATGTTACAAGAGATTTGTATTTGTAAATAAATGCTGGTCTTTTGAAATTTCTATTCATGGAAAAATAAAAATATTAACCAGATCAACTCTTTTCAACATATCACCAGCACATGAGAATGATTTCTGAAGGATCATGTGAGACTGAAGTCTGGCTGCTGAAAATTCAGCTTTGCCTCACAGGAATAAATTACAGTTGAAAATATATTAAAATAGAAAACAGGTATTTTAAATTGTAATAATATATTATTTGCACATAGATAAACTTGTCATTGTCTTTTGTTGCTGATGCAAATATTGATGACGCTGTGCTTCCTGTGTTCTTCCTGTGCCACTGGTTTGAAGTACTTATGTTCATACTGTGTGTTTGTGTGTGACACAGGGACCTAGAAGGTCAGGGATGCGATTGGAGGAGCTGAAGGAGTGGCTGGAGCAAGCAGAACAGAACAAACCCATTTCTGAACCTACTTTAAACCCTCTGCCTCCTTCAGATGTGCTTTCTTTGTCCATGCTGGAGACCGAACCTCTGCCTGAGGTGCCTCAGACTTAACCTCCAGACCTCACTAACCTCTGACCTCACAGATATAAATGACAGAAAAGTACTAATTCTCCCCTTCGTTCTTTCTCAGAGTCCACTGTCTGCTGCCCATCCTGAGGCTTGTGTTGGCATGGAGGTTAGTTCAATTAGCGGAGAGAGTGATGCAGACGGAGGGGAAGAGGGGGTCCTCCCATTTCTTCTTCATCCCCTTTATGACAAACACCAGCGTGTGGAGAAAGACTTCTGTAAGCTCATGGACTGGTGAGTGACCTTTGACCAGCATGTGTGAGAATGAACAGCTTTACATGTCAAGCTCAATCTCTTGTTATTTTCATACCCAGCTATCAGAGTTTGAAAGAGCTCCCTGGGATGCTGGACCCAACTGTGACTTTAAAGAGCCATGACTCGCTGGATTTTGGAGTCTTTGCTCCGCCAGGGAATACAAGCTTAATGAACAGACAACAACATAGGACTGTTAATGAGCAAGAGATGAAAGAATCTGTTCAGCAGTGAGTCCTGAGCCTGTTTCACATCAGCTTTTCAAATTTTTAGAAGCTCAAAGGGGTCAGTAACTTTAGGCAGTAAAGAATAGGTTGAGTGAACATTAGGTATGCTAGCAATATGTCAGAGAAGAGAGGAATATTATCAGAATTAGAAAGAGCTTTATTGCCAGGTATGTTTACACATATGAGGCATTTGTTTTGGTCACAGAAGCTTCCACAGAATGACAGTGACAAGACGGCACAGAAAATAAAAAGAATAAAAAATTGGATAAGAAAACAGAAAATAACAATATACAAAAAATATTTTTAAAAATACACAGTATACAAAAAAGACAATAGATGTTACTTGTGTGTACAGGTATGTTACGTACAAATGCAAGGAAATGTAAATAAGAAGTATGCGTGTTAAATAAATGTATAAATAATGTTGTGTATTACACGTTTATTGCCAAGTTAACTGTTCATGAGATGGATTGCCTGAGGGAAGAAACTGTTCTTATGCCTAGCCGTTCTGATGCTCAGTGCTCTGTAGCACCAACCAGACAGCAACAGTTCAAAGAGGAAGTGGCCTGGGTGTGAGGGGTCCAGAATAATTTTGCCAGCCCTTTTACTCACTCTGGATGAGTACAGTTCTTGGAGAGTGGGAAGGGTTGTACCAGTGATTCGCTCAGCTTTGTGTGTGCCTGATCTTCTCCATTAATCTGTAAACAATATTTCATTATTTAAATGAATGTAATAGTTTTAGCTAATGATAATAACACTGTTTAGAAACCACTGTTCCTACTGACATTCTACCAGATTATTGTAATTCTGTGATGAAAAGTTGATTGTCACAGACACAATAATGATATTTCTGTGTTTGTTATCTAAACATCAGCTGTATGTTGTTACCAGGTTTTGTAAGGTAGTTGAGGGTAACAGCAGTTCAGTCCACTCCACCATTATCAACACCTGTGTTGGCTGTTTGCTCTCTCATTCATCTCTCCATTCTCTTTCTTTAGGCAGGCAGCAGCAGATTGTGTCCCTCCCTCCGGCCCATCTGTCAGGTCACAGGTGTGTGACTCTATGGAAACTCACCCAGAGGCTCTTTGCCACTCCTCAGTGTTGCCAGGGCAACTGGGCAGTGAAAGGAAAACGGCAGGAAACAGGAAAACTCAAAGCAGTAGCCTGACCAGCCTAGCAGAGAGCACAGAACCCAGAACTATGGGCTTAAAAGCTAAGGCCAAGACTGTCAGAGCATCCCCTCTGGTCAGTGACTGTACTTTATTTGTGATGAACAATGCTATATATCATATTTGAAGGATTTATTTCTTAATGTGCATGAATAATAGAATTTTAATATTATTTAAGTAGAGCTCTTACGTGTATTTGTAACACTGTAGGATGGGGTCAAGTCTCCAGAGACGGACAGTGGCTTTATGGGCTCTGAGAGCAGTCAGCTCACTCCTGCTGTACACAGTCCTCTCCAGCAGAGGGCAGTGGCGAGGTATGAAGCACCTTCACTGTATACAGCACTCATAAGTAGGGTTAGGGAATCATCCTGCACTATTTGTGCTATGGACCTCCATGATACCTCAAATCTTTTGGTTTATAGAGGAGAGGTGTGTTTTTATTTTTCAAGTATGACACTTAGATGATAAAATGGGCGAAAAAGTCTCATAAAACAAACAAAAAAACACTCAAATTTTATTCAGAAAATATGAAAATCTTGTTGACTGTTTTTGCTATCCTAGGAAATTTATAATTTTTATATTTTTCTCTTTCTGATGTTTTCTCCAGTTCCATCAGGCCGTCTGGCCCACACACAAAGAACACAGAAAGACCAGAGTCTGCTCCTCCTTCTAGACAGCCTTTTGCGGTCTCACCCTCTCATTCACAACCCTCTTCAAATACCCCAGGAGAACACATCAAGTCTGAAGGATGCACGGGTCCTGTTAGGAGGAGAGGTGGGGAGGAAGGGTGTTCTTCTTCCAGCCTTTCTCCCTCAGTATCCCCCATTCATTGGCCCAGTAGCACCCTCCTGCCCTGGCCGAGCAGCCTGACCAGCCAATCAGAGCATGGGAGTGATCAGGGTGGGTGTAGGTTTGACATTTCACACAAAAAGCATGTAAAAAAAATTGTATACAGAAGACACAATAATAATTGGCAAAACCTTATAATAAGATTCAATTTGTAATCAATAGTTCATCCAATCATGAATTAATGTATCATGAACTAAATTAAGAATATTTCACACACTTTACAGCGTTTATTAATCTAATGTCAATTTCTTAATATACAATACTAAAAAATGTCAACATTTCAGGCTTGATAAATTAACATTACTTAATTAATTTTTAATGTTAATTAACAATTAACAATAGTATATAAATTAACATTAACCTAAAATAAGAGCAGCAATAATAAAAATAATACATAAAATTGGAAATATATCAACATTAGTTAATTTGTTTTTTAAATTTATAGTTTTATACAACATTAATCCAGGTTAATTGAGGTTATTATTAATTTATGTACTATTTTTTTAATTTTCCATTTTTAAATCGATCATTGTAATTTATTCCTGTGTTCGCAAATCTGAATTTTCAGTAGCCATTACTGTTTTAAGTGTCACATGATCCTTCAGAAATCATTTGGTGCTCAAGAAATGTTTCTTATTATTATTATCAAAATTGAAAACAGTTGAGCTGCTTAACATTTTTGTGGAAACTGATACTTTTTTCATGATTCTTTGACATAAATTGAAATAATAAGTAACATTATAAATATCTTTATTGTCACTTGATCGATTTTAAAGGGGTCATATGATGCTGCTAAAAAGAACATTATTTTGTGTATTTGGTGTAATGAAATGTGTTTATGCGGTTTAAAGTTTAAAAAACACATTATTTTCCACATACTGTAAGTGACGTAGACATGTGGGGGCGTGTTAGAACGAGCCTTTTTTAGGTAGGTGTGGCTCACTCTGAACTTTTATAAAGAATATCTCTTTGGATTTGAGACTTTAGTCTTTGCAACTTTACAGATCTTCTTTATGCACCAAGAGCTTGTAACACTCCAAAGAGAAGGGAAAAATTGAAATCGCATCATTTTGATGCATTCTTGTTTGAAAAAGTATTTGTATTTATTAAAAAAAAATTAATGGTACGTAGTGCTGGGCGGTATACCGGTTCATATTTATTTTTGTTATGATATGAATTTTTAAAATACCGCAATACAGGTGTATGTCGCTTAAACAACGTTCGGAACGCGACACGAACGTGGTAGTTACCTTGCTGTCTATGGGAGGGTCAGAGAGCCCTCAGATTTCATCAAAAATATCTTAAATTGTGTTCCGAAGATGAACGAAGGTCTTGCGGGTTTCGAACAACACGAGGGTGAGTAATTAATGACAGAATTTTCATTTTTGGGTGAACTAACCCTTTAACAAAATCTGATTTTAATTAAACAATCTTTTTTGTTCTTCAGACTACAAAAAATGCTTTTTATGTGTTGTTTATTTGCTTCAGAGAGGCTCTTCAATCTCTACAGCGAGAAGTGAACCGACTGAAGGAGAGACTAGAGGGAAATCTGAGACTCTCCAAACCTGCCAGTCCTGTTAGAGTGCCCACTTCTGCCACGGAAGATACCAGGGATCAGGCATTCCCACGGACCGCAAGGTACCTGAAATCTATTGTTGCCATTTTGATCTTAGACTGGCCAAAATGATATATGCTAGCTAAAACTTTTAATTCATAAAGTGATTTTATGATTTTCCTTATTTATTAGGTCTTCAGACAGGAGAAGGCGGCAGACAGAGAGAGGGAGGAATGGAGAACAAGAGAGAGGAAAATCACCAAGACCCACTCTGAGGCAAAGATCAGCGTCTTTACCTCGACATCGGCCTCAAACTGATCTGAGTGCGTTTAGCTACATGTACATTTTTCAAAGTAGAATACATTTGGATGCAAAGAGATTTTCTTAAAGGGGTCATATGATGCGATTTCAATTTTTTCTTTCTCTTTGGAGTGTTACAAGCTCTTGGTGCGGACACGACTAGAAATCAGTGGTTAAGTTGTATTTACAACACTGTTCCAGAACACTTCAACCCAAATATTGAGATGTGTGCCGTGCATTTTATGGAGAACGAGGACTTTCCTGGGAGAGTAGCATAATTTTGAAAAATACCGTGATATAAATTTTTGGTCATACCACCCAGCACTAAATGGTAGTGTATTAAGCCATGTTTAAAATACCCTGTTGAGAAGCACATGCACTGTTGTTGTTGTTGTTTTTTTAAACCTGATGTATAAACAACCCATCGCATGATGCATGATAAAAAAAAGCCTCATCAAATTGAAACTGACTTCCAGATAGGCACATGTAGCCTACAATGCCGGTGTCTGTTTCTATAAAGTGGGGCAATTCTAACTTAGCAAGGACAGTCTGTTGCTTCTGACTCACAGCAATTATGTCCCCACTGGAATGCCTCGTTTATAATGGGTTTTACTGGTTTTGTCTCATCGCGCCGGGAGATGGCATCACAGTATGTTAAGATGCGTAATATTTCTGTCACACGCTTGAGGTATTCGGCCAATCACAACGCACTGGACAGCTGGCCAATCAGAGCACACCTTGCTTTTCAGACCGATGAGCTTTGTAAAAATCGACGCGTTTCAGAAAGGCGGGGCATAGAGGAGAAACAATAGTGTACAGTATGTGGAAAATAATGTTTTTTTTACCTTAAACCGCATAAACACATTGCATTACACCAAATACACCAAATAATGTTCTTTTTAGCAACGTCATATGACCCCTTTAATGGTCCTAAATGACAAAACGCTTGGATGTCATATTGGTTATTTGAATCTGTTATGCTCTGATAGAGATATTAAATTACTTTTTCACCATGCTTTTGTTAACCCTTCAGCAACTGATTCTGAGCTTGTCCAATCTGAGCCACTACCATCAACATTCAGACATGTCCTGGTGTCCCCAATGACATCAAGAGGAAGAAGACAAACCAGAGGATTTGTACACATCACAAAGAGGACAGTACCTGTAAGAAAAGATCTTTGTTGTAACTCAACATGACATGACCAGGTTTTGGTATGATGTTCAAGAACAAATTGTGGTCATTTTAATTGAACATCAGCAGGCAGATCCAACAATAGTGATGAAACCGAATCAAGCCGAGGGCCAGAAACTGCCTGCCCACATTGCATATCAGACCGCACTGGTACTTTGACACGTAAGCTTCTTATCATGATAATGGGGGCTAAAGTTTACTGAACTTACAATTTCATGAACTATCCTCCTGTCCTTTACACTATTAATAAAAGGTCCAGTGAGGAGTAGGGGCTCTCCACATCTCACACAGCCTTCCTGCAACCATTGCCCATTGTGTGATGCATTACAAGCCAATCAAAGAGCCTCTCAACCAGGTTTGATAAAACATTATCTATAAACTAGTTTTTTATAGTTTGTCCTGAAGATGTGAAGTATTCGCCTAATACAATTTGTATCACCAAGAATCATGTTGACTATCAAATGTGTGTTTATTTAGCCAATCAGATGCCAGTCTCGACCCCCAGTGGGAGTCAGCCAATGAGATCCTCCTTACAGAGGAACAAAGGAGGTGTAAATGTGACTCCTCCCCCCACAGTCTGGGAGGTGTTCCAGTTGTCCCATATGTTCCTGTCTATCCTTCAACTCTGTGAGTACCTCAGGATAAAGTGGCCATTAGCTTAATTTACTTGCTTCTTCCTCTGCAACTGCTTTGATCAATGAATCAGACTCTAAAAATGCATGAGAACAACTTCCTCTCAACTTCCTGTCAGTCGATGAGTTTTGCAGGCTTGATTAAAACTCGTCTGAGACCTCTGTGGAAATCTGGGATTCAAAATCTAATTTAATCCTGGAGGGAAGCAAAGTTTTACGATTTCAAAAATGGCAAAACCAGAAGCATTATGACGTAAAATGAAGAAATAATTAGAATATAATGAACTATTTTTAGATGACAAATTAAAATAAAATGTCAGATTTCAAATAATTCTGATTCATGATCCAAATAATTCTGAAATTCAAGCTTTGAATTGATTTTTTTACTCGTGTTGATAATATAATTTGTTGATGGGGAAAAAAGTAAAACTTCAGTGTATTTTCTTCAGTGTCATCAGACATTTGAACCCTACTGTATATTATTATTGTTATTATTTAATAACATTTTTATTTAATAGTTTATTATTATTAAATTTAATAACATTATTTGAAATGGAAAACTTTTGTAAAATAGTTTTTTTTCTATCACTTTACTGTCTTGCTGAATAAAAAAAAAAATTCTTACTACCCATGATCTTTTGAGCAGTATTATATAATATTATTTATATAATTATATATTTCTTATACACTTTTTTTAACAATTAGTTTTAAGTAACACAACTAACTCCTCTGGTGTAACTGTCCACAACAGATTAATCATTCTGTCCTTTTCCTGCAGTTACTTCTCCAGCCCTGTGATGACACAGGCCTACTCACAACCCTTTAACATCTCAGTCAGTCCTGTCAGAGATGAGAGGCCAGGGGTCAGAGGTCATCGTAGACGCTCTCTCTCTTTGGACCATCAGCAGTGCTCTCTAAACAGCTCTCTGACCCGCGCCATCACGGCAGCTAGAAACATGAGAGAGGTCTCACATCGCATGGCTCACTCTCTGGCCTCAGGACTACACAGCACTAGCTTCCTCACCACATCCTGCACCTACTGACACCAGCGTTTACCACTTTTATCCAAAGTCACTTTAAATGAGGAATTATACTTTTCTACTGCTGAGCTGTGAAGAAAGTCACATTTGTTCATTATTATTAGTTTACAAAAACAACTCATTTTCTCATTGAGATGTGACTGATGCAGACATGTAACACTTCAGCGGGAAATGATGGAAAGTGTGAAATGTTTTAGGTGAACAGCTACTTTTAGAGATTAATAGCTGCATTATGGCAGCTTAAACATTCCAGGTTTGTATATGCAGTGACCCCAAAAAATATTTGGAATCTTAGGCCACACTTAAGATTTATGCATCTCATTGCATTGGAAAGCAAAAAATGTAAGCAATATTGCTTTTTTTGTACAAAACATTATAGAAGTTTATTTTTTTTTAGGTTTTAAATGAGATTAAAAAATTATAAATAAATAAATATGCTGTTCAAAATTAAGATGAAGATATATTTGGACACTCAGATTTCCGAACATGTTCATAGTTGTGATGAAATACACCAGTGGTTACTATGCTAGGGCATCTGTGGCTTTGTATTTTATTGTATAATACCAAGACACTGATGCATGTTTAAGTGTGGTTTAAATGTCCAAATAATTGTAGGTGCACAGTAGTAGACCTTTTTCTAGAAAGTGCAAATAATGTAACAGATTTATATGTACTTTCACAGTGTGAATGTGGACCTGTTTTGTTTTTAAATCCGTCAGTGACAGGTTTTTATTTTTATTTTTTAACTGAGAAAATAAATATAGAGTTTTTATTTATATTACCATACTTTTGTGTTGTATTTGTTTACCTAGAATTTCCAAACTGCATAACCTTTTTAATGTAAATGCCTGTGTGACAGTTTTCTACCCCACAGTCAGAAAAAGCAGTTTGATTGAGTGGTGTGTATACAGTCTAGCGAGTCCCACAAGAGTTTGTAGCAGCATTGAGGTCAGTGTGAAAAGAGCAGCGTGCATTTCACTTTGTGGAAACAATAATGGGGTAGTTATTAGCATACGTTTTTACAGATTATGCAATATTGTTACAATATATATATATATATATATATATATAGCTTTCTGAGGTAAATGTCATTTTAGTAATGCTTTGTAAATTTAAATGAACTAATTATTTTGGGCATCTCCCAGTCAAATTTAATGTCTAATAGTGTTTTTTTATGTTTCTGTCATGTGGTTTGTATTTATAGAGTTGTACTTTTATACTATATTTACCACTATAAATGTTTCTATAATATTTGACATGGTGTGTCATGTTGCTGTTTTTCCTTACAGCCATTTCACCAAGATTTATTTTGCTCAAGATAAAGGACTGGACCTTCTCTTGACCTTCCTGTAGCTGCAAATCTGTGTTGAGAGCCAGCTAGTCTATCATGTCTTCAGAGACCAGCGATCAAGGTTGGTGGCCAGTCAAACAGTCCACATCAACATTTTGTTTAATATAACGGGGCTCCTACGCTAATCATGGAATAGCTTGAAATAGCAGGTAGCCATATCCAGACACTGGAATTAATAAATATGTATTATAAAATATAATTATTATTTTTTGAGTACAGTCTGCATAATAATGAAAAACTGATCAATTCAGTGTTCAAAGTGTTTTGGAACTTCTTTATATATCATACATTTCCGTATAAATCAATGTTCATATAACAAAAAAGATAAATCTGAGATTTTGGAGACTATTGCAGTGTAGAGGTGGAGAAATCGTGTACAGAGCATGTCGCAAAAATGTACTAATTGCATATTTATAATGTAAGCCAATTTATTAGACAGCCTTAGTACATCGGTACACATGAAGTATACTTTAGTTTGTGCTTCAACACTCGCAAACATAGAATCCCAGTAAGATCGACAGGTTTAGGATGGACTACGTTCTTATTTATTGATATTCTCTGAAAAATAAATTGAATAGAAATCAATCCAGTCGACACAGATATACAACAGCAAACCCAAAATAAGGTAATAATTTAAAAGAAGAGAGAGAACCATAGAAGCGTTTGCATCACAGGAAACGCGTAGTGCAATATACAACCTTTCTGCCAGAACAGATTAAAGAGGAAACTGAAACCAAAACATTAAAGAAGGGGGTTGCGTTTCATTGCAAAGCCATTCACCAGTGGAAGATATAACAGTGCACCAGAAAGAAACTATCAGACGGACAAACGAAAGATAGATATTACCTATTTTTTTCCCCAGTTTATCACTACAGCTACAGCTAATACATCACAAACACAGTGGCTTCATATTGGCAAAGAAAGTTTTACTACTTCACAGTCAGAAATTTTCACCAGTCAACAGTGAGACGAAAAAACAGTAACATATGGCATACAACAACACGCTACTCAGTGCATGTCCCAGTTAAACATTGTTTACTAACCAATGATAAGACTTAATCGGACGAGATACAATACTGAAATACAACTGGCCCTTTTTTTGAATTCCTTAAACATCTGCAAGCAACGGCCTTCTTCACACTAAATCATGAGGTCTCTGTAGAAGGAGACATGAAAAGAAAAGTATATGAAGAGTAAATGCTCCTGACGGAGGGGTGACGTCCGCTATCTATGTACAGTGTCTCTTTCACTTTTGCAGCTTGAGGCTTTGATCTGTTACTCCTTTGGCCTCCTTCCTCTTCATCACTGGAGTCCCAGAAGATGCTCAGTTTCATTTTTACATCTTAACGTGTTTTTTATTTATTTTTCCCCCCAATGTTTTAAACCATGTCAAAAGGGCCACATAGTAGCGTCCATGGCATGCACATCTAAAATGAGACAACAATTAAACCCAAGCATCTAATCTGGGCGGCAGTTTAGCCTTCAGAGTAGGAAGTGATATGCATTATTTTGCCTCACAGGTCTATTTGCATACAAACCAGTCCCTCCCCCAACCACTTTTAATCCATAAAAAAACACACCAAGTTAAATAAGGAGCGAACGCAAAAAGTGATCTACCATTTACGCATTCTAGCAGGTTCCATAACATACAATATTACATTTGGTGCTTTAAGGTTTTTAAATGGCCTGAGTTTTTTAATGAAAACTCAGTTTGACAGTAATCATTTGCATCCATTGTAAAACAGAAGAACACTTGCAATGATTCTTCTATTTCAACATTATATATATTTAAATATATATCAATTTATAGAATATTCTTTTTAACTTGTCACCAATCATCTATGTGTTTTTTTTTTTTTTTCTCTCAAGCAAGATGCATACACAATTTATATAGGAGCGGGTGCGATTTACAGGATGACGGATGAAGGGAGGGAGAGGGTAACTGGGCGATGGGGTTGGGGGGAAGGAAATTGTGATTTTAGCTTGTCTGCTCCTCGTCGGGTTTGTTCATGGCCTTGAGAGCCTCCAGAAGCTGGGTGGGGGCGACGATATGGGTCGAACCTGCATAAATGAGCACCGAGGAGAGAAACAAAGACGAAAAACTCATTACATTTGTACATTAACTGTAAACATGTTTAAATGTGTTTTCAGCGGTGTATCTATCTATCTATCTATAGTATTGTAGAAAATATATATTATTAATAATAGTAATTAATATTGTTAATATTGCAATATTAATCTTGTAATGAATTTATATATATACATATACATCATATATACTGCTGTTCAAAAGTCAAAAGGGTCAGAAAGATTTTTTTTAAAGAAATGAATTTTATTGAGCAAGGACACTTTAAATTGATCAAAATTGAGACGTTTTTCTTTTAAATGTTCTACAGTATTTATCTAAGAATACTGAAAAAATATATCATGGTTTCCACAAAAATATTAAACAGCACAACCGTTTCCAGCTGTGATAATAATAAGAAATGTTTCTTGCAAATGCAAATCAGCATATTAGAATGATTTCTGAAGGATCATGTGACACTGAAGATTGGAGTAATAAATTCAGCTTTGCCATCACAGGAATAAATTACATTTTATATATTAAAATAGAAAACCATTCACAATATTACTGTTTTTACTGTAGTTTTAATCAAATAAATGCAGCCCTGGTGAGCATAAGAGAATTTCAAAAACATTAAAAAAAAAAAATTACTGGCCAACCCATTTTAATGGTACTTTATGCACGTATATTTAATTATTAAGATTTTGCTTTGAATCTAAAAATTTCAAAATAAGCAAATATTTAAATTTGATTAGATATTTAGCTGAAGACACATTTCTAACACATCACAAATACTGTACATTCAAACTATCCAAAAACATTTGTGCCTCAGGGTCACCTCAAAAAAACAAAACATGGGTACACACTGAAATAATTTTTGATTTTTGGTGCCCTGTGGAACAAATGTTTATTCTACTCCCAGTTAAACAAATATTTTTAGCAAAGCTGCATGTTCACACTACTACAAGTAGTCTTTTGCAATAAAAAGATCAAGTGATTAAAAATGTACTTAACAACCAGTGAGGGTTGCCTACAGAAAGAGGCAAATGAATCTTACATTGCTATGCAAGTAGAACTGAATGTGTAGTTGCATGCCCGGCTTTGAACAGGCAACTCAATTGTCTGGTTCTGAACGCAGCTGATATAATCTACTGGGCCAACTAAATGCAAACACGCAGTTTTGCTAATCAGATTCACAATGTGATTTGTAGCTCTTCAACTAGATGAACGGGTCTAAACTAAAGATCCATGAAAACAAAGCATATTATTGTTCAATAATGGCTGGAACAGTCAAGAAATGTTTCATGTTGCAGTATGGGTTAGGACTGGCATACTGCTTATGGTGTGATCATTTACGAACACGAAAAACCAACAGAAAAAGGGGAAATCAAAAGGGATATAGCTTTAGCAGCCTGACACTTGAGAGATGGATACTTGATAGGGCCAAGCAATGATCATTCTTGTATAATGGTTTAGTCAGTAAAGGTATTTGGAAGGACACTTTGTATTACAGGACCTCCTTTGTGTGCATTTGTTGGCTTATAAATGTTATAAGTACTCTTAATGCTTCAGAGAAGATCATAGATGGGTTAAATGAATATTCCATGATCAAAACATGTTAATCTCTATCAACAGCATCTTTGATTACCACAGAAAACAACCTGGCTCATCCATTTCTGTGTCAAAACCTGATCAAATTTGTGCTGTAACGCTCTTACAATGGAAGTCTATGGGGCAAGGTATTCCAAAGGGTTTAAAAGACTAAAATAGTGTATATAAACGTATACAGACAAGGTATACATCAAATGTTCATGTCTTATGGCTGTACTTTCAGAACTGTGTGTACAGTATCTGAATATTATTATAATGCAAT